CTGTGTGTCTGTGTGTCTCTGTGTGTGTCTGTGTGTGTCTCTGTCTGTCTCTGTGTGTCTCTGTGTGTGTGGCCAGGCACCTCCTCCATGTAGATATTGTCCAGGTCGTAGGCGGCCCGCACCGACTCCACCAGCCAGCCCTCCGGCGTCATCATGTTGAGTCTGTGTGTCTGTGTGTGTCTCTGTGTGTCTCTGTGTGTCTCTGTCTGTGGCCAGGCACCTCCTCCATGTAGATATTGTCCAGGTCGTAGGCGGCCCGCACCGACTCCACCAGCCAGCCCTCCGGCGTCATCATGTTCAGTCTGTGTGTCTGTGTGTCTCTGTGTGTGTCTGTGTGTGTCTCTGTCTGTCTCTGTGTGTCTCTGTGTGTGTGGCCAGGCACCTCCTCCATGTAGATATTGTCCAGGTCGTAGGCGGCCCGCACCGACTCCACCAGCCAGCCCTCCGGCGTCATCATGTTGAGTCTGTGTGTGTGTGTCTCTGTGTGTGTCTCTGTGTCTGTGTGTGTGTGTGGCCAGGCACCTCCTCCATGTAGATATTGTCCAGGTCGTAGGCGGCCCGCACCGACTCCACCAGCCAGCCCTCCGGCGTCATCATGTTCAGTCTGTGTGTCTGTGTGTCTCTGTGTGTGTCTGTGTGTGTCTCTGTCTGTCTCTGTGTGTCTCTGTGTGTGTGGCCAGGCACCTCCTCCATGTAGATATTGTCCAGGTCGTAGGCGGCCCGCACCGACTCCACCAGCCAGCCCTCCGGCGTCATCATGTTGAGTCTGTGTGTGTGTGTCTCTGTGTGTGTCTCTGTGTCTGTGTGTCTGTGTGGCCAGGCACCTCCTCCATGTAGATATTGTCCAGGTCGTAGGCGGCCCGCACCGACTCCACCAGCCAGCCCTCCGGCGTCATCATGTTGAGTCTGTGTGTGTGTGTGTCTCTGTCTGTGTGTGTGTCTGTGTCTCTGTCTGTGTGTGTGTCTGTGTCTCTGTCTGTGTGGCCAGGCACCTCCTCCATGTAGATATTGTCCAGGTCGTAGGCGGCCCGCACCGACTCCACCAGCCAGCCCTCCGGCGTCATCATGTTGAGTCTGTGTGTCTGTGTGTGTGTGTGTCTCTGTGTGTGTCTGTCTCTGTGTCTCTGTCTGTGGCCAGGCACCTCCTCCATGTAGATATTGTCCAGGTCGTAGGCGGCCCGCACCGACTCCACCAGCCAGCCCTCCGGCGTCATCATGTTGAGTCTGTGTCTGTGTGTGTCTCTGTGTGTGTCTGTGTGTCCCTGTGGCCAGGCACCTCCTCCATGTAGATATTGTCCAGGTCGTAGGCGGCCCGCACCGACTCCACCAGCCAGCCCTCCGGCGTCATCATGTTGAGTCTGTGTGTCTGTGTGTCTCTGTGTGTGTCTCTGTGTGTCTGTGTGTGTGTGTCTGTGTCTGTCTGTGGCCAGGCACCTCCTCCATGTAGATATTGTCCAGGTCGTAGGCGGCCCGCACCGACTCCACCAGCCAGCCCTCCGGAGTCATCATGTTCAGCGTGAGCAGCGGAGACTGTGGCAGGTCCACAAAGCGTGCCGAGGGCCCAGCCGTGGAGCGGCCGTCCACCGTGAACGTCACGTCCGCCTCTAGCACGTAGCGGTAGAAGCTGGGGGGGGGGGGGGGGGGGGGGGTGGGAGTGGAGGGGGGATGGAGGAAGGGATGGGGGGAGGGAGGAGAGGGGGGGAGGATGAGAGGGAGGAGGGATGGAGGGAGTGGAGGGGGGAGAGGGAGGGGAGGGAGGGGAGGGAGGGAGTGGAGGGGGGAGAGGGAGGGGAGGGAGGGGAGGGAGGGAGTGGGAGGGGGGGAGGGGGGGAGGGGGGGATGGAGGGAGTGGAGGGGGGGGGAGGGAGAGGGAGGGAGAGGGGAGGATGGAGGGAGTGGAGGGAGGGGAGGGAGGGGAGGGATGGAGGAAACGGGGAGAGGGAGGAGAGGGATGGAGGGAGGGGGGAGGGGGGGGGAGGGGGGGGGCGATGGGGGGGAGGGAGGGGAGGGAGGGGGGATGGAGGGAGGGAGGGAGGGAGGGGGGATGGAGGAAGGGGGGAGGGGGGAGAGGGGGGGGGAGGGAGAGAGTTGTAGAAGTTTGCCAAGTGTCAGCGTCATGGCAAGCGAACTTCCCGTTGAGTAAATCCGTAGAGCTAAGAAGCTCTTCGTTAAAGGGAGAGAGGGGAGTGGGTGTGGGCGACTCTCCCGCTCCGTTACCTCTTTAGTGGCATCTCCGACAGCTTGGGCTTGCAGTTCATGAACAGGCGCAAGTGAACATTCACCACCTCGCTCAGCACCTGCACACGTAGCACGGTGAGTGGCAGGGTGAGCAGTAGCGAGCGAGTGAGTGATCAAGTGAGTGAGTGATCAAGTGAGTGAGTGAGTGATCAAGTGAGTGAGTGAGTGATCAAGTGAGTGAGTGAGTGATCAAGGGGGAGAGAGATCAAGCGAGTGAGTGAGTGATCAAGTGAGTGAGTGAGTGATCAAGTGAGTGAGTGAGTGATCAAGTGAGAGAGTGAGTGATCAAGTGAGTGAGTGAGTGATCAAGTGAGTGAGTGAGTGATCAAGTGAGTGAGTGATCAAGCGAGTGAGTGAGTGATCAAGTGAGTGAGTGATCAAGCGAGTGAGTGAGTGATCAAGTGAGTGAGTGATCAAGTGAGTGAGTGAGTGATCAAGCGAGTGAGTGAGTGATCAAGCGAGTGAGTGAGTGATCAAGCGAGCGAGTGATCAAGCGAGTGAGTGAGTGAGTGATCAAGTGAGCGAGTGAGTGATCAAGTGAGTGAGTGATCAAGTGAGTGAGTGAGTGATCAAGTGAGTGAGTGATCAAGTGAGTGAGTGATCAAGTGAGCGAGTGAGTGATCAAGTGAGTGAGTGATCAAGTGAGCGAGTGAGTGATCAAGCGAGTGATCGAGCGAGCGAGTGATCAAGTGAGTGATCAAGCGAGTGATCAAGCGAGTGAGTGATCAAGCGAGTGAGTGAGTGAGTGAGTAATCAAGCGAGTGATCGAGCGAGTGATCAAGCGAGTGATCGAGCGAGTGATTGAGTGAGTGATCAAGCGAGTGATCAAGCGAGTGATCAAGCGAGTGATCGAGCGAGTGATCAAGCGAGTGAGTGATCGAGCGAGTGATCGAGCGAGTGAGTGATCAAGCGAGTGAGTGATCGAGCGAGTGATCGAGCGAGTGAGTGATCAAGCGAGTGAGTGAGTGAGTGACCAAGTGAGTGATCAAGCGAGCGAGTGAGTGAGTGACCAAGCGAGTGATCGAGCGAGTGATCGAGCGAGCGAGTGATCAAGCGAGTGATCAAGCGAGCGAGTGATCAAGCGAGTGATCAAGCGAGCGAGTGAGTGAGTGACCAAGCGAGTGATCAAGCGAGCGATCAAGAGAGCAAGCGAGTGATCAAGCGAGTGAACAAGCGAGCGAGCGAGTGACCAAGCGAGTGATCAAGCGAGCGATCAAGAGAGCAAGCGAGTGATCAAGCGAGTGACCAAGCGAGTGAGTGAGTGATCAAGTGAGTGATCAAGCGAATGACCAAGCGAGTGAGTGAGTGATCAAGCAAGTGATGAAGTGAGTGAGCGAGTGATCAAGCGAGTGAGTGATCAAGCGAGCGAGTGACCAAGCGAGTGATCGAGCGAGTGACCGAGCGAGTGACCAAGCGAGTGACCGAGCGAGTGACCAAGCGAGTGATCGAGCGAGTGACCAAGCGAGTGACCAAGCGAGTGACCAAGCGAGTGATCGAGCGAGTGACCGAGCGAGTGACCAAGCGAGTGACCAAGCGAGTGACCAAGCGAGTGATCGAGCGAGTGACCGAGCGAGTGACCAAGCGAGTGATCGAGCGAGTGACCGAGCGAGTGACCGAGCGAGTGACCAAGCGAGTGACCAAGCGAGTGATCGAGCGAGTGACCAAGCGAGTGACCAAGCGAGTGACCAAGCGAGTGATCGAGCGAGTGACCGAGCGAGTGACCGAGCGAGTGACCAAGCGAGTGACCAAGCGAGTGACCAAGCGAGTGATCGAGCGAGTGACCGAGCGAGTGACCAAGCGAGTGATCGAGCGAGTGACCGAGCGAGTGACCAAGCGAGTGACCAAGCGAGTGACCGAGCGAGTGACCGAGCGAGTGACCGAGCGAGTGACCAAGCGAGTGACCGAGCGAGTGACCGAGCGAGTGACCAAGCGAGTGATCGAGCGAGTGATCGAGTGAGTGACCAAGCGAGTGACCAAGCGAGTGACCAAGCGAGTGATCGAGCGAGTGACCGAGCGAGTGACCAAGCGAGTGACCGAGCGAGTGACCGAGCGAGTGACCAAGCGAGTGACCAAGCGAGTGACCAAGCGAGTGATCGAGCGAGTGACCGAGCGAGTGACCAAGCGAGTGACCGAGCGAGTGACCAAGCGAGTGATTGAGTGAGTGACCGAGTGAGTGATTGAGCGAGCGAGGTGCCAGCAGCACTCACGGCGAGGAGAGGTGCGAGGCGTTGAGCGTCTCTCGTCACGGGGTCCACGATGGCCAGCACGTCAAAGTAGACCTCCTTCTCACGCGGACGCAGCTTCACCACGCTGCACACACACGTGACGGACACGTGACGGACACGTGACGGACACGCCACGCACACGCCACGCACACGTGACGGACACGTGACGGACACGTGACAGACACGTGACGGACACGTGACGGACACGTGACAGACACGTGACAGACACGTGACGGACACGTGACGGACACGTGACGGACACGTGACAGACACGTGACGGACACGTGACGGACACGTGACAGACACGTCACGGACACGTGACGGACACGTGACGGACACGTGACGGACACGCCACGCACACGTGACGGACACGTGACAGACACGTCACGGACACGTGACGGACACGTGACGGATACGTGACGGACACGTCACGGACACGTCACGCACACGTGACGGACACGTGACGGACACGTGACAGACACGTGACGGACACGCCACGCACACGTGACGGACACGTCACGGACACGTCACGCACACGTGACAGACACGTGACGGACACGTGACAGACACGTGACGGACACGTGACAGACACGTGACGGACACGCCACGCACACGTGACGGACACGTCACGGACACGTCACGCACACGTGACGGACACGTGACGGACACGTGACGGACACGTGACGGACACGCCACGCACACGCCACGCACACGTGACAGACACGTGACGGACACGTGACAGACACGTGACGGACACGCCACGCACACGTGACAGACACGTGACGGACACGTGACAGACACGTGACGGACACGCCACGCACACGTGACGGACACGTCACGCACACGTCACGCACACGTGACAGACACGTGACGGACACGTGACGGACACGTGACGGACACGTGACGGACACGCCACGCACACGCCACGCACACGTGACAGACACGTGACGGACACGTGACGGACACGTGACGGACACGCCACGCACACGTGACGGACACGTGACGGACACGTGACGGACACGCCACGCACACGTGACGGACACGTGACGGACACGTGACGGACACGTGACGGACACGCCACGCACACGCCACGCACACGTGACGGACACGTGACGGACACGTGACGGACACGTCACGGACACGTGACGGACACGTGACGGACACGTGACAGACACGTGACGGACACGCCACGGACACGTGACGGACACGTGACGGACACATGACAGACACGTCAGGGAGACGTCATGGACACGGACACGTCACGGACACGGACACGCCACGCACACGTGACAGACACGCCACGGACACGTGACGGACACGTCATGGACACGGACACGGCAGGGACACGTGACAGACACGTCAGGAAAACGTCACGGATGAGGGGAGGGGGGGGAGACGTCACGGACGAGGATCGTGGCGACCTCTGACCTGTGCCGGTCGTCAGCGAACTTGACCTCGGAGCGAGCGTCGCCCTTGGGGGCCGCGGACAGCAGCGAGTCGACCTTCATCACGAGGTCACTGGCCCTGCGGGGGGGGCGGGGGGGCGGGGGTCACAGCAGTCAACCCGTGTCACCTGCTGGGTCTGTCCCGTGACCTCCTCCTGCACCTAGCCTGGCACGGCAGTCAACCCGTGTCACCTGCTGGGTCTGTCCCGTGACCACCTCCTGCACCTAGCCTGGCACGGCAGTCAACCCACAGGCACCTGCTGAGTCTGTCCCGTGACCTCCTCCACCTGCACCTAGCCTGGCACAGCAGTCAACCCACGGCACCTGCTAGATCTGTCCCGTGACCTCCTCCTTCTGCACCTAGCCTGGCACGGCAGTCAACCCATGTCACCTGCTGAGTCACGTTGCGAGCTGTCGTTGCGGGGAGCGGTGGTGCTGCGGTTAGCGCGCTACTGCGCTACGGACCCAGCGGGCCAAAGGCACCAGATGGAACTGAACTATTTTACGACGAAACTATTTGCTACGTTACACACCAGGTGTAAGGTGTGATGTCCCGACTGATCTGCTGTGTAGTGGCTCTTGTTCAGTGGTGGCTTCATCATCATCATCACCATGTAGAAATGTGTAGTAGTGGCAGCCACAACTACTCTGAATACTGTTTCACTATTTGTTCTATAACACCAGGCTGTGATGTCCTCACTGAGTTGCTGTGTAGTGGCTCTTGTTCAGTGGTAGCTGCATCATCATCATCATCACCATGTAGAAATGTGTAGTAGTGGCAGCCACAACTACTCTGAATACTGTTTCACTATTTGTTCTATAACACCAGGCTGTATACCAGGCGAGGTAGTCAACATCTCCTAGCCACCGTGATGATGATGATGATGAGAGAGAGACGCAGACTCCAAATATACAGCAGCAGCAGCGGCAGCAGGCATCGTCAGGGTCGTGATCGAACCCACGACCTCCTGCACACCATGCGAGGTAGTCAACATCTCGTCAAATACAGGCGACGTCGGGGTTGAACCCACGACCTCCTGCGCACCAGGCGAGGTCGTCAACATCTCGCTCCCCCCCCCGCCCACCTGCTCCCCGTCTCCCCGATGCGCTGCACCATGGCCAGGATCTTGTCGGCGGACGTTGCCCTTGTCACCTTCTCCAGCAGCTGGAAGTCCTCCTGGTTGAACGTCTCGTTGGCGGCCAGGGGGCCCACCACCTGGGGGCGGGGGGGTGGGGGGGGAGGTGAATCGGAATCTTTATTTATAGCGGAGGAATCCGAGGAGCTGTGAAGATCTTTTCTCAAATCCCCCCTCTCGCTCTCGCACCCTACCACCCACGCACACACGCACAGACACACACACACCCACCCACACACACACCCACAGACACACACCCCCACTCACCCACACACCCACCCACACCCACCCACACCCATACAGCTAAAAAACACCCACACACACACCCACACACACCCACCCACCCACACCCCCACCCACGCACACACACACCCCCACCCACACCCCCACCCACACCCACACCCCCACCCACACCCCCACCCACACCCCCACCCACACACCCACCCACACAACCACCCACACACCCACCTACACACCCACCCACCCACACACCCACCCCCACCCACACACACCCACCCACACCCACACACACCCACCCACACATACACACACCCACCCACACATACACACACCCACCCACACACACCCACACACCCACCCCCACCCACACACCCACCCACACACACACCCACACACACCCACACACACCCACACACCCACACACCCACACAAACCCACACACACACCCACCCACATCCCCACCCACCAATCCACCCACACCCACACACCCACACCCACACAGCTAAAAAACACCCACACACACACCCACCCACACACCCACCCACACACCCACCCACACACCCACACCCACCCACACACACCCACCCACACCCACACACACCCACCCACACACCCACCCACCCACCCACACATACACACACCCACCCACCCACACACCCCCACCCACCCCCCCCCACCCGGCCGTTGCAGACGACGGCTCTCCCCGATGGCTCTACGTGCAGCACGGAGTGGCAGTAGAGAGCCTGAGCCTGCAGGGCCTCGGAGCTCCGCTCAGAGTGCAGCGCGTCCAGCAGGCGCTGCTTCTCCATGCCCTGGGGGTGGTGGTGGTGGGGTGGTGGTGATGGTGGTGGTGGGGTGGTGGTGGGGTGGTGGTGGGGGGGTGGTGGTGGGGTGGTGGTGGGGTGGTGGTGGTGGGGTGGTGGTGGTGGTGGTGGGGTGGTGGTGGGGTGGTGGTGGTGGTGGTGGGGTGGGGTGGTGGTGGTGGTGGGGTGGTGGTGGTGGTGGCTGGGGTGGTGGTGGCTGGGGTGGTGGTGGTGGTGGTGATGGTGGCTGGGGTGGTGGTGGTGGTGGTGGTGGGGTGGTGGTGGTGGTGGTGGTGGTGGTGGGGTGGTGGTGGTGGTGGGGTGGTGGTGGTGGGGTGGTGGTGGTGGGGTGGTGGTGGGGGTGGTGGTGGGGTGGTGGTGGTGGTGGGGAGGTGGTGGTGGGGAGGTGGTGGTGGTGGGGTGGTGGTGGTGGTGGGGTGGTGGTAGTGGTGGGGTGGTGGGGTGGTGGTGGGGTGGTGGTGGGGTGGTGGTGGTGGTGGTGGGGTGGTGGTGGTGGTGGGGTGGTGGTGGGGTGGTGGTGGGGTGGTGGTGGTGGGGTGGTGGTGGGGGTGGTACAAACAGCACAGCTCACCAATGTCTCCTCTCCCCCAACCCCCGCATAGCCTCCGATGTTTTTACGTTTTATATTTTTTATGTTTTAGATTTTTTTTACGTTGTTGATGTTTAATATTTTTTATGTTTTTGATTTTTTATATTTTTTATGTTTGAGAATTTTTTTATGTTTTTGATGTTTTATATTTTTTAGATTTTAGATTTTTTATGTTTTTGATGTTTTATATTTTTTATGTTTTAGATTTTTTTTTACGTTGTTGATGTTTAATATTTTTTATGTTTTTGATGTTTTATATTTTTTATGTTTGAGAATTTTTTTATGTTTTTGATGTTTTATATTTTTTAGATTTTAGATTTTTTATGTTTTTTTTTATGTTTTATATTTTTATGTTTTAGATTTTTTATGTTTTAGATTTTTTTTATGTTCTTGATGTTTAAAATGTTTTTATGTTTTTGATGTTTTATATTTTTTATGTTTTTGATGTTTTAGATTTTTTTATGTTTTAGATTTTTTATGTTGTTTCATATTTTTTATGTTTTAGATTTTTTATGTTTTTGATGTTAAATATTTTTTATGTTTTAGATTTTTTTTATGTAAGTTGATGTTTATTATTTTAGAGTTTTTTACGTTTTTGATGTTTTATATTTTTTACGTTTAATATTTTCTACGTTTTTGATGTTTAATATTTTTTCTGTTTTAGATTTTTTTACGTTGTTGATGTTTAATATTTTTTTTATGTTTTTGACGTTTTATATTTTTTATGTTTTCGATTTTTCATGTTTTTGATGTTTAATATTTTTTATGTTTTAGATTTATTATGTTGTTGATGTTTAATATTTTTTACGTTGTTGATGTTTTATATTTTTTATGTTTTATATTTTTTATGTTTTTGATGTTTTATATTTTTTTGTTTGATATATTTCACGTTAAATTTTGATTTAAAGCTTTCGTGACTGCAGTAATTCATATTCTTAGCTCTTTCGGTAAAGTCAGATTGAAGGGAAACAATAAAATAATAAAATATATAAAAAATATAAAAATTCTCACGACATTTCGACCATAACACAAACGGCTGTCATCAGGTGTGTCGGTTCGCATTAATTCATTTATTTTTAAGCGGTGTATTTACTTATTTATAAAAAAAACGTTAGCGCCACGCGCAGCGATTTGGCAGTTTATTTAGAAGGACGAGTCCATCTATGTTCTGAAAAGAGGAGGGGGGGAGACGAAAAATTTAATGTATGCTGTCTGAAAGCCACTGTAAGTGTGAACAATCAATTAAGACCTGAAATGGTTTATCAAATCTTTCCAATGATTGCTAAGCCAGAATCCATCTTCTCGGTTGAAATTGTCTCTGTGCTTGTATATGTGGATAGCCTCATGAACGAATCTCTCATGGTAGCCAGATGGCTTGCAGAGAACCTCTGTCTTGGAAAATTCAATGTCATGTGAGCCTACTGAATTATAACAATGATCTGCCACGGCCGAGGTGTTGGTCCTACCGTGTTTAAGGTCTGCTTTGTGTTCACGAATGCGGTCCGAGACATGGCGTTTGGTTTCTACAATGTAACTACTACCACAGAGGCAACTTAGTTTGTAGACACCAGGGTACTGTATGTCCGGAATCACATATTTTACAGACGGAACCAGATCACGGATTTTATGTAATGTGTTGAAACGGACCTGGATCTTGTGTTTATTCAAGATTTTGGAGATCTTTTTTGTGATCCCCGCAATGTAGGGTACAGTGATGGTTTTGAAAGGCTCCTCAAGAGGGTCCTTCTTCATGGTTTGAGTGATAGCTTTGCGGATTGTATAGTCGGAGTAACCATTAGCCATAAGAGCTTGGTGTACGTGCTTGAGTTCACTGCCTATGTGTTCCTGGTCGGATATGCATTGGGCTCTATGATACAGAGTCTTGATGAGAGAATTCTTCTGTGATGGATGGTGGTGGGAATCCGGTTTCAGATAAGCATCCGTATGGGTAGCTTTCCTGTAGACAGAGTGGCTCATTGAACCATCAGGTCTCTTTTTAATTAGGACATCCAAAAAAGGTATCTTGCCATCTATTTCGACTTCCATGGTAAATCTGATGGCTGGGTGTATGGAATTGATGTGGTCGAAGAATTGGTCTAGAGCAGGCCTAGCCATGTGGCCAGATGACAAAAGTGTCATCCACTACCTCTTCCATAAGGTTGGGCGCAGAGTGGCAGTCTGGATGGCGTCAGTCTCAAATTTCTCCATGAAAATGTTAGCTATAACCGGAGATAGGGGGGAGCCCATTGGGGTGCCCTCAGTTTGTTTGTAGAAAGTTCCATTCCAAGTGAAGTATGTATTGTTGATGTTTTAGATTTTTGTATGTTTTAGATTTTTGTATGTTTTAGATTTCTTATGTTGTTGACGTTTTATATTTGTGTATGTTTTCGTCGCCGGTGTTGATGGTAGTTGCGAGCGGGGGGGGGGGCGGGAATCGAACTCGGGCCGAAGGCCGAGTTCCTAGCGCTGCCGTGTGCCAGCCACTGCCGCTCCGCACTCACACACACACACAGACACACACACACTCACACACACAGACACACACACACTCACACACGCAGACACACACGCAGACACACACGCAGACCCACACACAGACACACACGCAGACACACACACAGACACACACACAGACACACACACAGACACACACGCAGACACACACACAGACACACACGCAGACACACACGCAGACACACACGCAGACACACACGCAGACACACACGCAGACACACACGCAGACACAGACGCAGACACACACGCAGACACACACGCAGACACACACGCAGACACACACACAGACACACACACAGACACACACACAGACACACATGCAGACATACACGCAGACACACACGCAGACACACACGCAGACACACACGCAGACACACACACAGACACACACGCAGACACACACACAGACACACACACAGACACACACGCAGACACACACGCAGACACACACACAGACACACACACAGACACACACACACTCACACACGCAGACACACACGCAGACACACACGCAGACACACACACAGACACACACACAGACACACACACAGACACACACACACTCACACACACACTCACACACGCAGACACACACACAGACACACACGCAGACACACACACAGACACACACACACAGACACACACACACTCACACACGCAGACACACACACAGACACACACACACTCACACACGCATACTCACACACTCACACACTCACACACGCAGACACACACACACTCACACACAGACACACACACACTCACACACGGACACACTCACACACGCATACTCACACGCAGACACACACACACTCATACACACAGACACACACACACTCACACACGCAGACACACACGCAGACACACACACACTCACACACGGACTCACTCACACTCACACACGGACACACGCACAGACACACACACACTCACACACGCAGACACACACACAGACACACACACACTCACACACGGACACACTCACACACGGACACACGCACACACACACGGACACACGGACACACACACACACACGGACACACACACACAGACACACACACACTCACACACACACGCAGACACACACACACACTCACACACAAACACACACAGACACACACGGACACACACACACGGACACACACACACTCACACACACTCAAACACAGACACACACACGGACACACACACACTCACACACGGACGCACACACACACGCACGGTCGCACACACACACGCACGCACGGTCACACACGCACGCACGGACACACTCACACACGGACACACTCACACACGGACACACACGGACACACACACACACGGACACACACACACACGGACACACACACACGGCCACACGCAGACACACACACGCAGACACGGACACACTCACACACACTCACACACACACACACACGGACACACTCACACACACTCACACACACACACACACACTGACACACACACGGTCTCACACACACGGACACACGGACACACGGACACACACACACGGACACACACACACGGTCTCACACACACGGACACACACACACACGGACACACACAGCCGCGTACGTGTATGAGCAGCTCGGAGAGGGCTGCTTCCCCGCCCTGCCTCAGCACCGACCAGGCCTCCTCCCGCACCGCCTTGGCCACGAAGTTCTTGGCGTGGGTGGCGCTCTGCGTGTCCAGCGCCGCCCACACCGCACGCCCCACCGGGCCAGCCGCACCCTCCGCCGCGCAGTTCACCACACCCACACGCACGCCGGCACTGGAGCGCTAAGGTGGGGGGGGGGGCATCGTGGTGGTGGTGAGTGTGGCGGAGTGATGGTGGTGGTGAGCGGTGTAGTGGTGGTGAGCGGTGTGGTGGTGTTGGTAGTGAGTGTAGCGTGGTGGTGGTGGTGAGCGGCGTGGTGGTAGTGAGTGCGTGGTGGTGGTGGTGAGCGTGGCGTGGTGGTGGTGAGCGTGGCCTGGTGGTGGTGGTGGTGAGCGTGGCGTGGTGGTGATGGTGGTGAGCGGTGTGGTGGCGGTGAGTGGTGAGCGGTGTAGTGGTGGTGAGCGGTGTGGTGGTGGTGGTAGTGAGTGTAGCGTGGTGGTGGTGAGTGTGGCGTGGTGGTGGTGAGTGTGGCGTGGTGGTGGTGGTGGTGGTGAGCGTGGCGTGGTGGTGGTGGTGGTGGTGATGGTGGTGGTGATGGTGGTGGTGGTGGTGAGCGGTGTGGTGGTGGTGGTGTTCTTTGTGATGTGATCCACAATCGAATGCCGATGAAGCCGATGAAGATGAAGCTGTTGATGAGGTTGATGATGACAATGACGACAATGATGACAATCATGATGCTGACGACGACGATGACAACGATGACGACGATGACAACAACAATGATGATGACAACGATGACGACGATGACCACAACGACGACGACGATGACCACAACGATGACCACAACGATGACCACAACGATGACCACAACGATGACCACAATGACGACAATGATGACAATGATGATGCTGACGACGACGATGACAACGATGACAACAACAATGACGATGACGACGAGAACAATGACAACGATGACGACGACGATGACCACAACGATGACGATGACGACGATGACCACGATGACAACGATGACCACAACGATGACGATGACGACGATGACGACGATGACCACAACGATGACGACGATGATGATGACAACGACGATGACGACGACGATGCCCCCCCCCCCCCCCCCCCACCATGTGCTTGACGGCGTTGTGGAGGAGCTCGCGACCTGCCGGCTCGTCGAGGTCGGCCACCACCCAGAGGGTGACGGCGTGGGCCAGCTGCTCGTCTACACAACACACACATCACAGTGACACACACACAGTGACACACACACACAGTGACACACACAGTGACATACACACACACACAGTGACACACACACACACAGTGACACACACAGTGACACACAGTGACACACACAGTGACACACACAGTGACACACACACACACAGTGACACACACACACACAGTGACACACATACACACAGACACACACAGTGACACACACAGACACAGTGACATACACACACACAGATACACACACACAGTGACACACACAGTGACATACACACACAGACACACACACACAGTGACACACACATACACAGTGATACACACAGTGACACAAAGTGACACACACAGTGACACACACACACAGTGACACACACAGTGACACACACATCACAGTGACACACACACACACAGTGATACACACAGTGACACACAGTGACACACACAGTGACACACACAGTGACACACACACACACAGTGACACACACACACACAGTGACACACATACACACAGACACACACAGTGACACACACAGACACAGTGACATACACACACACAGATACACACACACAGTGACACACACAGTGACATACACACACAGACACACACACACACAGTGACACACACATACACAGTGATACACACAGTGACACAAAGTGACACACACAGTGACACACACACACAGTGACACACACAGTGACACACACATCACAGTGACACACACACACACAGTGATACACACAGTGACACACAGTGACACACACAGTGACACACACACACACAGTGACACACACACACACAGTGACACACACACACACAGTGACACACATACACACAGACACACACAGTGACACACACAGACACAGTGACATACACACACACAGATACACACACACAGTGACACACACAGTGACATACACACACAGACACACACACACACAGTGACACACACATACACAGTGATACACACAGTGACACAAAGTGACACACACAGTGACACACACACACAGTGACACACACAGTGACACACACATCACAGTGACACACACACACACAGTGATACACACAGTGACACACAGTGACACACACAGTGACACACACAGTGACACACACACACACAGTGACACACACACACACAGTGACACACATACACACAGACACACACAGTGACACACACAGACACAGTGACATACACACACACAGATACACACACACAGTGACACACACAGTGACATACACACACAGACACACACACACAGTGACACACACATACACAGTGATACACACAGTGACACAAAGTGACACACACAGTGACACACACACACAGTGACACACACAGTGACACACACATCACAGTGACACACACACGCACAGTGATACACAGTGACACACAGTGACACACACAGTGACACACACAGTGACACACACACACACAGTGACACACACACACACAGTGACACACATACACACAGACACACACAGTGACACACACAGACACAGTGACATACACACACACAGATACACACACACAGTGACACACACAGTGACATACACACACAGACACACACACACACAGTGACACACACACACACAGACATACACACACAGACACAGTGACACACACAGTGACACGCACACATACAGACATACACACACAGACACAGTGACATACACACAGTGACACGCACACATACACACGCACACATACACACACACACGCACACACACACACACACGCACACACACACGCAAACACATACACACACACACACGCAAACACATACACACACGCAAACACATACACACACACACGCACACACACACACACATACACACAAACACACAAACACACACACACGCACATACACACACACACATAAACACACACACACACATAAACACACACACACATAAACACACATATACACATACACACACAGACACACACACAGACACACACACACACATACACACACACGCGCACGCCCACACACACACGCGCACGCACACACACACACACACGCACACACACGCAAGCACACACACGCACACACACACACATGCACACACACAGAGGAGGCCTTCTAACGGACGCGGGGGGGGGGGGGCGAGTGGCACGCGTGTGTGGGTGACGTGCATGTGGGTCCACACGTGTGTGCGTAGCGTGTGGGTAGCGTGTGTGTGTGGGGGTAGCGTGAGTGCGTAGCGTGTGTGTGTAGCGCGTGTGCGTAGCGTGTGGGTAGCGTGTGTGGGTAGCGTGTGTGTGTGGGGGTAGCGTGAGTGCGTAGCGTGTGTGTGTAGTGTGTGTGGGTAGCGTGTGTGTAGCGTGTGTGGGTAGCGTGTGTGTGTGTGGGTAGCGTGTGTGTGTAGTGTGTGTGGGTAGCGTGTGTGTAGCGTGTGTGGGTAGCGTGTGTGTGTGTGGGTAGCGTGTGGGTAGCATGTGTGGGTAGTGTGTGTGCGTAGCGTGTGTGTGTGGCGTGTGTGGGTAGCGTGTGTGTGTGGGGGTAGCGTGAGTGCGTAGCGTGTGTGTGTAGCGCGTGTGCGTAGCGTGTGGGTAGCGTGTGTGTGTGTGGGTAGCGTGTGGGTAGCATGTGTGGGTAGTGTGTGTGGGTAGCGTGTGTGCGTGGCGTGTGTGTGTAGCGTGTGTGCGTAGCATGTGTGCGTAGCGTGTGTGCGTGGCGTGTGTGGGTAGCGTGTGTGTGTGGGGGTAGCGTGAGTGCGTAGCGTGTGCGTAGCGTGTGTGTAGCGTGTGTGCGTAGCGTGAGTGCGTAGCGTGTGCGTAGCGTGTGTGTGTAGCGTGTGTAGCGTGTGTGTAGCGTGTGTGCGTAGCGTGTGCGTAGCGTGTGTGTGTAGCGTGTGTGCGTAGCGTGTGTGTAGCGTGTGTGTGTAGCGTGTGCGTAGCGTGTGCGTGGCGTGTGTGTAGCGTGTGTGCGTAGCGTGAGTGCGTAGCGTGTGCGTAGCGTGTGTGTGTAGCGTGTGTGTGTAGCGTGTGTGTAGCATGTGTGCGTAGCGTGTGCGTAGCGTGTGTGTGTAGCGTGTGTGTGTAGCGTGTGTGCGTAGCGTGTGTGTAGCGTGTGTGTGTAGCGTGTGCGTAGCGTGTGCGTGGCGTGTGTGGGTAGCGTGTGTGTAGCGTGTGTGTGTAGCGTGTGCGTAGCGTGTGCGTGGCGTGTGTGTGTAGCGTGTGTGTAGCGTGTGTGTGTGTAACGTGTGTGTGTAGCGTGTGCATAGCGTGTGCGTCTCCACGTGCCGGTCTTGGCGAGGTACTTGAGGCTGGAGGCGACGGCTCCGCTCTTGTCCTTCGAGTCGAGGAACGTGAAGGTGGGAAAGTCCTCCAGCGAGTAGTGGCCTGCTCACAACCACCACCACAACAACCACGTCAACAACAACAACCACCACAACAACCACGTTAACAACAACCACCACCACAACAACCACATCAACAACAACCACGTCAACAACAACCACCACAACAACAACCACGTCAACAACAACCACCACCACAACAACCACCACCACAACAACCAACACCACAACAACCACGTCAACAACAACCACCACCACAACAACCACGTCAACAACAACAACCACCACAACAACCACCACCACAACAACCACGTCAACAACAACCACGTCAACAACAACCACCAGAACAACAACCACGTCAACAACAACCACCACCACCACAACAACCACCACCACAACAACCACGTCAACAACAACCACCACCACAACAACCACCACCACAACAACCACCACCACAACAACCACGTCAACAACAACCACCACAACAACAACCACGTCAACAACAACCACGTCAACAACAACCACCACAACAACCACAACAACAACAACCACGTCAACAACCACGTCAACAACAACCACCACCACAACAACCACAACCACAACAACCACAACAACAACCACATCAACAACCACGTCAACAACAACCACGTCAACAACAACCACGTCAACAACAACAACAACAACCACGTCAACAACCACCACAACAACGTCAACAACAACCACCACATCAACAACAATCATAACCACAGCAACAACAATCACAACCACCACATCAACAACCACCACAGCAACCACCATGTCTACAAACCACGACTCAACAACCACCACGTTAACAACCAACACCCCAACAATCAGGTTAACAACCACCACCACCTTCACCACCACGTTAACAACCATCACAACAACCACCACAACAACCACAACAACCACCACCACCACAACAACCACCACCACAACAACCACAACAACCACCACAACAACCACCACCACCACAACAACCACCACCACAACAACCACAACAACCACCACAACAACAACCACTACCACCGCCACCACCACCACAGCAACAACAACAACCACAACAACCACAACAACAACCACCACCACCACCACAACAACCACAACAACAATCACCACCACCGCCACCACCGACCTGGCGAGGTGAGATCCAGGTAGCGTCGTTCCGTGGACAGCACCCGCTGGTTGAACCGTGGCACCACAACAACAACCACCACCACAACAACAACAACCACCACCACAACAACAACCACAACAACCACCACAACCACAACCACAACAACCACCAGCACCACCGACCTGGCGAGGTGAGATCCAGGTAGCGTCGTTCCGTGGACAGCACCCGCTGGTTGAACCGTGGCACCACAACAAGAACCACCACCACCACAACAACAACCACAACAACCACCACAACCACAACCACAACAACCACCAGCACCACCGACCTGGCGAGGTGAGATCCAGGTAGCGTCGTTCCGTGGACAGCACCCGCTGGTTGAACCGTGGCACCACGTTTGGCTGCTCTGCCACGAACTCCACCACGCTCATCTGATTGGTCAGCTCTCCCTGCCCGCGGACAGCCGGCCAAACAGGCAAAGGTCCCCCGCGTAGCCTCGGCACGCGGTCGGGGCAAGTGCAGCTCAGCGTGTAGCTCTGTGCGTGCTCTGATACCCACGTGTACTCTGATACCCGCACGTACTCTGATACCCACACGTACTCTGATACCCACGTGTACTCTGATACCCACATGTACTCTGATACCCACGTGTACTCTGATACCCACGTGTACTCTGATACCCACGTGCACTCTGATACCCACGTGTACTCCGGTACCCACGTGTACTCTGATACCCACACGTACTCTGATACCCACGTGCACTCTGATACCCACACGTACTCTGGTACCCACGTGCACTCTGACACCCACACGTACTCTGATACCCACGTGTACTCTGGTACCCACGTGTACTCTGATACCCACGTGTACTCTGATACCCACACGTACTCTGATACCCACGTGCACTCTGATACCCACTCATACTCTGATACCCACTCATACTCTGATACCCACTCATACTCTGATACCCACTCATACTCTGGTACCCACTCATACTCCGGTACCCACGTGTACTCTGAAACCACGTGTACTCTGATACCCACACGTACTCTGATACCCACGTGTACTCTGGTACCCACGTGTACTCTCAACCCACGTGTACTCTGGTACCCGCGTGTACTCTGATACCCACACGTACTCTGATACCCACGTGTACTCTGAAACCACGTGAACTCTGATACCCACGTGCACTCTGATATCCACGTGTACTCTCAACCCACGTGTACTCTCAACCCACGTGTACTCTGATACCCACGTGTACTCTGGTACCCGCGTGTACTCTGATACCCACACGTACTCTGATACCCACGTGTACTCTCAACCCACGTGTACTCTGGTACCCGCGTGTACTCTGATACCCACACGTACTCTGATACCCACGTGTACTCTCAACCCACGTGTACTCTGGTACCCGCGTGTACTCTGGTACCCACACGTACTCTGATACCCACGTGTACTCCGATACCCACGTGTACTCTGATACCCACGTGCACTCTGATACCCACGTGTACTCTGATACCCACGTGTACTCTGATACCCACGTGTACTCTGGTACCCACGTGTACTCCGATACCCACGTGTACTCTGATACCCACACGTACTGATACCCACGTGTACTCTGATACCCACGTGTACTCTGATACCCACGTGTACTCTGGTACCCACTCGGTCTCTGATACCCACACGTACTCTGATACCCACACGTACTCTGATACCCACGTGTACTCTGATACCCACGTGTACTCTGATACTCACACGTACTCTGATACCCACACGTACTGATACCCACGTGTACTCTGATACCCACGTGCACTCTGATACCCACACGTACTCTGGTACCCACGTGTACTCTGATACCCACGTGTACTCCGATACCCGCGTGTACTCTGATACCCGCGTGTACTCTGATACCCACATGTACTCTGGTACCCGCGTGTACTCTGATACCCACATGTACTCTGATACCCGCGTGTACTCTGATACCCACGTGTACTCTGGTACCCGCGTGCACTCGGCTCACCATGTAGACTGCGCGCTGGAAGAAGGCCGTGGCCTCCATGATCTTCTGCATGGTGGCCGTCTCAAAGTCGTCGGGCTCCAAGTCGCTGGTGGCGTACGGCACGCCATTGAAGAGCACCTGGGGCAGCTCGCCCAGCCCCGAGCGCCGGTACAGAGACACGCCGGCCTGGCACAGCGCGGCGTGGTGGTGGTGGTGGTGGTGAGTGTGGTGTGGTGGTGATGGTGGTGATGGTGGTGATGGTGGTGATGGTGGTGGTGGTGGTAGTGATAGTGGTGTTGGTGGTGTTGGTGGTGGTGGTGGTGGTGTTGGTGGTGGTGACGACGATGATGGTGACGATGATGGTGGTGACGATGATGGTGGTGGTGACGATGATGGTGACGGTGGTGGTGATGGTGATGGTGGTGACGGTGGTGATGGTAGTGACGGTGGTGTTGGTGATGGTGGTGACGGTGATGACGATAATGGTGGTGATGGTGGTGGTGGTGGTGATGACGATGATGGTGGTGACGGTGGTGATGGTGGTGGTGATGACGATAATGGTGACGGTGGTGGTGACGGCGATGGTGGTGATGGTGACGATGATGGTGGTGGTGACGATGATGGTGGTGATGGTGGTGACGGTGATGGTGACGGTGATGTTGGTGGTGGTGATGGTGGTGATGGTGGTGACGACGATGATGGTGGTGATGATGGTGGTGACGATGATGGTGGTGATGGTGGTGACGGTGATGGTGGTGACGATGATGGTGGTGACGGTGATGGTGACGGTGATGATGGTGACGGTGGTGATGATGGTGATGGTGGTGACGATGGTGATGGTGGTGACGGTGATGGCGATGTTGGTGGTGATGGTGATGGTGACGATGGTGGTGATGGTGGTGACGGTGACGGTGGTGGTGACACCGCACCTCACGTCCCTCGTCGAACTCCGAGTCCGGTGCGAGCAGCGCCGAGTGCGGCAGGCGCAGCGCCGGGAACCTCTGTGCCAGCACCGCCGAGATGAGCGGCACGGAGAGCGACGCTCCATCCTCTAGCGCGTCGTACACCTACACCACACCACACACGCACCATCACACACACAGCATCACACACTACACACACCACACACACACCACCACACACACCATCACACACACAGCATCACACCTACACCACATCACACACCACACACAGCATCACACACACAACACCATCACACCTACACCTACACCACACCACACACACCATCACACCTACACCACACCATCACACACCATCACACCTACACCACACCATCACACACCATCACACCTACACCACACACCACACACACCATCACACACACACCATCACACCTACACCACATCACACACACGCACCATCACACACCACACAGCATCACACCTACACCACACGCACCATCACACACACCACACACACACCATCACACACACACAACACCATCACACCTACACCACACCACACACCACACACAGCATCACACACCATCACACCTACACCTACACCACATCACACACCACACGCACCATCACACACACCATCACACCTACACCTACACCACACCACATCACACACACCACACACACCATCACACACACAACACCATCACACCTACACCTACACCACACCACACACACCATCACACCTACACCACACCACACGCACCATCACACACACCTACACCACACCACACACACCATCACACCTACACCACATCACACACTACACGCACCATCACACACACCATCACACCTACACCACATCACACACCACACCACACCATCACACAGCATCACACCTACACCACATCACACACCACACACCACACAAACACCATCACACCTACACCACACCACACACACCATCACACCCCATCACACCTACACCACATCACCACACACGTACCATCACACACACCATCACACAGCATCACACCTACACCACACCACACACCACACACAGCATCACACACCATCACACCTACACCACATCACACACACCACACACACACCATCACACCTACACCTACACCACACAACACACGCACCATCACACACACCATCACACACACCTACACCACACCACACACCATCACACCTACACCTACACCACATCACACACACCACACGCACCATCACACACACACCATCACACAGCATCACACCTACACCACACCACACGCACCATCACACACACCACACACACCATCACACAGCATCACACCTACACCACACACACCACACCACACCATCACACCTACACCACACCACACACACACCATCACACACACCTACACCACACACCACACACACCATCACACCTACACCACATCACACACTACACGCACCATCACACACACCATCACACACACCATCACACAGCATCACACCTACACCACACACCACACGCACCATCACACACCATCACACCTACACCACATCACACACCACCACACAGCATCACACCTACACCACATCACACACCACACACCACACACACACCATCACACCTACACCACATCACACACCACACGCACCATCACACACACCATCACACACACCTACACCACACCACACACCACACACACCATCACACCTACACCACATCACACACCACACACACCATCACACACCATCACACCTACACCACATCAACACACACGTACCATCACACACACCATCACACAGCATCACACCTACACCACACACAGCATCACACACCATCACACCTACACCACATCACACACACCATCACACACACACCACACACACACACACTACACACACCACACATACCACACACACCACATACACACACCATCACACACACACCACACACACACACCGCACACACACACCACACCACACACACACCACACACACACACACCACACAAACACCCACACCACACACACACGATCACACACACCACACACACACACACACACACCATCACACACACACACACCATCACACACACCACACACACCATCACACACACACCACACACACCGCACACCATCACAAACACCGCACACCATGACACACACACACACACCACACACACACCACACACTATCACACACACACCACACCATGACACACACACCATCACACACACACACCACACACACACCACACCATCACACACCACACACACCGCACACCATCACACACACCGCACACCATCACACACAACACACCACACACACACACCATCACACACACACACCATCACACACTACACACACTACACACACCATCACACACACACCATCACACACTACACACACACCATCACACACACACCATCACACACTACACACACCACACACACCATCACACACTACACACACCTCACACACCATCACACACACACCATCACACACACACACCACACACACCATCACACACCCCACACACACCATCACACACACACGACACACACACACCATCACACACACCACACACACACACACCACACACACCACACACACACCATCACACACACACCATCACACACTACACACACCACACACACCATCACACACTACACACACCTCACACACCATCACACACACCACGACACACACACCCCATCACACACACCACACACACCACACACACCACACCACACACACACACCACCACACACACTACACACCACACACCATCACACACACACACCACACACACCACACACACACCATCACACACACACACCACACACACCACACACACACCATCACACACACCACCACCCCCACCATCACACCTACACCACCACCCCCACCATCACACCTACACCACACACACACCATTACACACACACACACCACACAATCACACACACACCACACACACCACACCATCACACACACACCACACACATCACACGCACACACACCATCAAACACACACACCACACCATCACACACACCCACACACACACCACACACACACACACCATCACACACACACACCACACACACCATCACACACACCATCACACACACACGACACACACACACCATCACACACACCATCACACACACACGACACACACACACCATCACACACACCACACACACCACACACACCATTACACACACCACACCATCACATACACCACACACACCACACACACACACCACACACCCCACACACCATCACACACACACCACACACCACACCACATACACACACCACACACACCACACACACACACCACACACACCACACACACACACCATCACACACACACACACCACACACACCATCACACACACACACACCACACACCACACACCCACATCACACACTACACACACACCACACCGGTTGCTGTTGTGTGGTCGTGCCACGCATTTGCATGTGGCTGTGCACAGCTGCGTGTGGCTGCCCGCGGTCGCATCGGTCGCTCGCGATCGCAACCGGTTGCAATCAGTCGCAATCGGTTGCATCGGTCGCGCGTGATCGCAACCGGTTGCGCGCGCGCGCGCGGATTTTTTAGTTTCTCGCACCGCGAGGACGAGGCCGAAGGCGTCGGCGTTGCCGGAGTGACCGGCGGCGAAGTTGAAGGCCCGCACGAGGAAGACGCCGGCGTCGTCTGTCGCATCCACCGCTTGCTCACCGCTCACCACGAACACCAAGCCCAGCCTGCGACACCACACACACGTGTACACACACACTCACGTGTACACACACACTCACGTGTACACACACACACACACGTGTACACACACACACACACGTGTACACACACACTCACACACGTGTACACACACACGTGTACACACACACACTCATGTGTACACACACACGTGTACACACACACGTGTACACACACACTCACGTGTACACACACACACGTGTACACACACTCACACTCACGTGTACACACACACACGTGTACACACACTCACACTCACGTGTACACACACTCACACTCACGTGTACACACACGTACACACACTCACACTCACGTGTACACACACTCACACTCACGTGTACACACACACGTGTACACACACACACGTGTACACACACACGTGTACACACACACTCACGTGTACACACACACACTCACCACGAACACCAAGCCCAGCCTGCGGCACCACACGTGTACACACACACACTCACGTGTACACACACACACACACGTGTACACACACACGTGTACACACACACGTGTACACACACACACACTCACGTGTGTACACACACACATACACGTGTACACACGTGTACACACGCTTACGTGTACACACACACACTATGTGTACACACACACACACTCACGTGTACACACACACACTCACGTGTATACACACACACACACTCACGTGTACACACACACACACGTGTACACACACACTCACGTGTATACACACACACACTCACGTGTACACACACGTGTACACACACACTCACGTGTACACACACGTGTACACACACACACACTCACGTGTACACACACGTGTACACACACACACACTCACGTGTACACACACGTGTACACACACACTCACGTGTACACACACACACTCACCACAAACACCAAGCCCAGTCTGCGGCACCACACGTGTACACACGTGTACACACACACACACACGTGTACACACACACACGTGTACACACACACACACTCACGTGTACACACACACACTCACGTGTACACACACACGCTCACCACGAACAGCCTTGCAGCACCACACGTGTGTACACACACACGCTCGCGCGTACACACACACGCTCACGTGTATGTATACACACACGTGTATATATACACACACAGTGTACACGCACATATACACACGTGTACACACACGCACTCACGTGTGTATATACACGTGAGTATATATACACGTGTGTGGTTCTGGTAGAACACACACACACACACACGTGTGTGTACACGTGTGTGTGTGTGTACACGTGTGTGTGTGTGTGTGTTCTACCACGTGTGTGTGTGCGTCACACCTGACAGGGACGTGGTTCTGGTAGAACACACACACACACGTGTACACACACACACACGTGTGTGTACACGTGTGTGTGTGTGTACACGTGTGTGTGTGTTCTACCACGTGTGTGTGTGTCACACCTGACAGGGACGTGGTTCTGGTAGAACATATACACACGTGTGTACACGTGTGTATGTGTGTGTGTGTGTACACGTGTGTGTGTGTTCTACCACGTGTGTGTGTGTGTTCTACCACGTGTGTGTGTGGGTGTGTTCAACCACGTGTGTGTACACGTGTGTGTGTGTGTGTTCTACCACGTGTGTGTGTGTGTGTGTTCTACCACGTGTGTGTGTGTGCACAAACGTGTGTGTGTGTGTGTGTTACACCTGACAGGGACGTGGTTCTGGTAGAACACACACACACACGTGTGTGTACACGTGTGTGTGTACACGTGTGTGTACACGTGTGTGTGTGTGTGTGTGTCACACCTGACAGGGACGTGGTTCTGGTAGAACATCTCTGCCAGCTTCAGCAGCTCCTTGGTGGCCTTGTCCAGCGGGTCCAGCACCAGCACCTGCACGGGTGGCACGGGGTATCTGGCTCTTTGAGCCTCAGTCTGGCTCTGTGAGTCTCACTGATTAACACTGAACTCTGTGGGAGCCTCAGTCTGGCTCTGTGAGCCTCAGTGATTAACACTGAACTCTGTGGGAGCCTCAGTCTGGCTCTGTGAGCCTCAGTGATTAACACTGAACTCTGTGGGAGCCTCAGTCTGGCTCTGTGAGTCTCAGTGATTAACACTGAACCCTCTGGGAGAAGCCTTAGTCTGGCTCTGTGAGCCTCAGTGATTAACACTGAACCCTCTGGGAGCCTTAGTCTGGCTCTGTGAGCCTCAGTGATTAACACTGAACCCTCTGGGAGCCTTAGTCTGGCTTTGTGAGCCTCAGTGATTAACACTGAACCCTCTGGGAGCCTTAGTCTGGCTTTGTGAGCCTCAGTGATTAACACTGAACCCTCTGGGAGCCTTAGTCTGGCTTTGTGAGCCTCAGTGATTAACACTGAACCCTGTGGGAGCCTTAGTCTGGCTCTGTGAGCCTCAGTCTGGCTCTGTGAGCCTCAGTCTGGCTCTGTGAGCCTCAGTGATTAACACTGAACCCTGTGGGAGCCTTAGTCTGGCTCTGTGAGCCTCAGTGATTAACACTGAACCCTGTGGGAGCCTTAGTCTGGCTCTGTGAGCCTCAGTGATTAACACTGAACCCTGTGGGAGCCTTAGTCTGGCTCTATGAGTCTCAGTGATTAACACTGAACCCTGTGGGAGCCTTAGTCTGGCTCTGTGAGCCTCAGTGATTAACACTGAACCCTGTGGGAGCCTTAGTCTGGCTCTGTGAGCCTCAGTGATTAACAATGAATCCTGTGGGAGCCTCAGTCTGGCTCTGTGAGTCTCAGTGATTAACACTGAATCCTGTGGGAGCCTCAGTCTGGCTCTGTGAGTCTCAGTGATTAACACTGAACCCTGTGGGAGCCTTAGTCTGGCTCTGTGAGTCTCAGTGATTAACACTGAACCCTGTGGGAGCCTCAGTCTGGCTCTGTGAGCCTCAATGATTAACATTGAACCCTGTGGGAGCCTCAGTCTGGCTCTGTGAGCCCCAGTGATTAACACTGAACCCTGTGGGAGCCTTAGTCTGGCTCTGAGTCTCGTTGATTAACACTGAACCCTGTGGGAGCCTCAGTCTGGCTCTGAGTCTCAGCGATTAACACTGAACCCTATGGGAGCCTTCGTCTGGCTCTGTGAGCCTCAGTCTGGCTCTGTGAGCCTCAGTCTGGCTCTGTGAGCCTCAGTGATTAACACTGAACCCTGTGGGAGCCTTAGTCTGGCTCTGTGAGCCTCAGTGATTAACACTGAACCCTGTAGGAGCCTCAGTCTCGCTCTGTGAGCCCCAGTGATTAACACTGAACCCTGTGGGAGCCTTAGTCTGGCTCTGAGTCTCGGTGATTAACACTGAACCCTGTGGGAGCCTCAGTCTGGCTCTGAGTCTCAGCGATTAACACTGAACCCTATGGGAGCCTTCGTCTGGCTCTGTGAGCCTCAGTCTGGCTCTGTGAGCCTCAGTCTGGCTCTGTGAGCCTCAGTCTGGCTCTGTGAGCCTCAGTGATTAACACTGAACCCTGTGGGAGCCTCAGTCTGGCTCTGTGAGTCTCAGTGATTAACACTGAACCCTGTGGGAGCCTTAGTCTGGCTCTGTGAGCCTCAGTGATTAACACTGAACCCTGTGGGAGCCTTAGTCTGGCTCTGTGAGTCTCAGTGATTAACACTGAACCCTGTGGGAGCCTTAGTCTGGCTCTGTGAGCCTCAGTGATTAACACTGAACCCTGTGGGAGCCTTAGTCTGGCTCTGTGAGTCTCAGTGATTAACACTGAACCCTGTGGGAGCCTTAGTCTGGCTCTGTGAGCCCCAGTGATTAACACTGAACCCTCTGGGAGAAGCCGTAGTCTGGCTCTGTGAGCCTCAGTGATTAACACTGAACCCTGTGGGAGCCTTAGTCTGGCTCTGTGAGCCTCAGTGATTAACACTGAACCCTGTGGGAGCCTTAGTCTGGCTTTGTGAGCCTCAGTGATTAACACTGAACCCTGTGGGAGCCTTAGTCTGGCTCTGTGAGCCTCAGTCTGGCTCTGTGAGCCTCAGTCTGGCTCTGTGAGCCTCAGTGATTAACACTGAACCCTGTGGGAGCCTTAGTTTGGCTCTGTGAGCCTCAGTGATTAACACTGAACCCTGTGGGAGCCTTAGTCTGGCTCTGTGAGCCTCAGTGATTAACACTGAACCCTGTGGGAGCCTTAGTCTGGCTCTGTGAGTCTCAGTGATTAACACTGAATCCTGTGGGAGCCTCAGTCTGGCTCTGTGAGTCTCAGTGATTAACACTGAACCCTGTGGGAGCCTTAGTCTGGCTCTGTGAGTCTCGGTGATTAACACTGAACCCTGTGGGAGCCTCAGTCTGGCTCTGTGAGCCTCAATGATTAACATTGAACCCTGTGGGAGCCTCAGTCTGGCTCTGTGAGCCCCAGTAATTAACACTGAACCCTGTGGGAGCCTTAGTCTGGCTCTGAGTCTCGTTGATTAACACTGAACCCTGTGGGAGCCTCAGTCTGGCTCTGAGTCTCAGCGATTAACACTGAACCCTATGGGAGCCTTCGTCTGGCTCTGTGAGCCTCAGTCTGGCTCTGTGAGCCTCAGTCTGGCTCTGTGAGCCTCAGTGATTAACACTGAACGCTGTGGGAGCCTTAGTCTGGCTCTGTGAGCCTCAGTGATTAACACTGAACCCTGTAGGAGCCTCAGTCTCGCTCTGTGAGCCCCAGTGATTAACACTGAACCCTGTGGGAGCCTTAGTCTGGCTCTGAGTCTCGGTGATTAACACTGAACCCTGTGGGAGCCTCAGTCTGGCTCTGAGTCTCAGCGATTAACACTGAACCCTATGGGAGCCTTCGTCTGGCTCTGTGAGCCTCAGTCTGGCTCTGTGAGCCTCAGTCTGGCTCTGTGAGCCTCAGTCTGGCTCTGTGAGCCTCAGTGATTAACACTGAACCCTGTGGGAGCCTTAGTCTGGCTCTGTGAGCCTCAGTGATTAACACTGAACCCTGTGGGAGCCTTAGTCTGGCTCTGTGAGCCTCAGTGATTAACACTGAACCCTATGGGAGCCTTCGTCTGGCTCTGTGAGCCTCAGTCTGGCTCTGTGAACCTCAGCGATTAACACTGAACTGTATGGGAGCCTTAGTCTGGCTCTGAGTCTCGGTGATTAACACTGAACCCTGTGGGAGCCTTAGTCTGGCTCTGTGAGCCTCAGTGATTAACACTGAACCCTGTGGGAGCCCCAGTCTGGCTCTGTGAGCCTCAGTGATTAACACTGAACCCTGTGGGAGCCTCAGTCTGGCTCTGTGAGCCTCAGTGATTAACACTGAACTCTGTGGGAGCCTTAGTCTGGCTCTGTGAGCCTTAGTGATTAACACTGAACCCTGTGGGAGCCTCAGTCTGGCTCTGTGAGTCTCAGTGATTAACACTGAACCCTGTGCAAGCCTTAGTCTGGCTCTGTGAGCCTCAGTGATTAACACTGAACCCTGTGGGAGCCTTAGTCTGGCTCTGTGAGCCTCAGTGATTAACACTGAACCCTGTGGGAGCCTCAGTCTGGCTCTGTGAGTCTCAGTGATTAACACTGAACCCTGTGGGAGCCTCAGTCTGGCTCTGTGAGCCTCAGTGATTAACACTGAACCCTGTGGGAGCCTTAGTCTGGCTCTGTGAGCCTCAGTGATTAACACTGAACCCTGTGGGAGCCTTAGTCTGGCTCTGTGAGCCTCAGTGATTAACACTGAACCCTGTGGGAGCCTTAGTCTGGCTCTGTGAGTCTCAGTGATTAACACTGAACCCTGTGGGAGCCTTAGTCTGGCTCTGTGAGTCTCAGTGATTAACACTGAACCCTGTGGGAGCCTTAGTCTGGCTCTGTGAGCCTCAGTGATTAACACTGAACCCTGTGGGAGCCTCAGTCTAGCTCTGTGAGTCTCAGTGATTAACACTGAACCCTGTGGGAGCCTCAGTCTGGCTCTGTGAGCCTCAATGATTAACACTGAACCCTGTGGGAGCCTTACTCGGGCTCTGTGAGCCTCAGTGATTAACACTGAACCCTGTGGGAGCCTCAGTCTGGCTCTGTGAGTCTCAGTGATTAACACTGAACCCTGTGGGAGCCTCAGTCTGGCTCTGTGAGCCTCAGCACACAACGCTTGAGCCAGCAGCATCACGTGGTGCGATTGACTGATAACCACCCACCCACTCACCACCCACCCACCACCCACCCACACACCCACTCACCACAACCACCCACCCACACACACAACCACCCACCCACACACACAACCACACACACACACACAACCACCCACCCACACACACAACCACCCACACACACAACCACCCACCCACCCACCTCCACCCAACCACCCACCCACCACCACCTAACCACCCACCCACCGACCACCACCCAACCACCCACCCACCCACCACCACCCAATCACCCCACCAACCCAAAACACCACCCCACACACCCCCCCCCCCCCCACCCACCACCCCCACCCACCCCCCACCCACCACCCCCACCCACCCACCACCCCCACCCACCCACCACCACCCACCACCACCACCCACCCACCAGGCTGAAGAAGTTCTTGCGGATCTGGCGCATGACCCAGGGAAAGTTGGCCGCAGCAGCTCCTGAACGCTGCCTGGCCACGACGAGTACAGCCCATCACGCTCCACGTCGTTCACCCACTGGGGGGGGGGGGCACGGGGGGGGGCACGGGGGGGGGGGCACGGGGGGGGGGGCACGGAGTGGGGGGGGGGAGGGGTGAGGTCAACAAACTGTCCAGGCTCTGTGGCAGTGGAGATGGCGGTAGCGGTGGCGGTGGTGGTAGTGGTGGTGGTTGTGGTGGAAGTAGAGATGGTAGTAGTAGTCGGGGTGGTGGTAGAGGTAGTGGTGGTGGTTGTGGTGGAAGAAGAGATGGTAGTAGTAGTGGTGGTGGTAGTAGAGGTAGTGGTGGTGGTTGTGGTGGTGGTTGTGGTGGAAGTAGAGATGGTAGTAGTAGTGGTGGTAGTAGAGGTAGTGGTGGAGGTAGTAGTGGTAGTGATAGTGGTGGTAGTAGAGGTACTGGTGGTGGTACTGGTGGTGGTTGTGGTGGAAGAAGAGATGGTAGTAGTCGGGGTGGTAGTAGAGGTAGTGGTGGTGGTTGTGGTGGTGGTTGTGGGGAAAGTAGAGATGGTAGTAGTAGTCGGGGTGGTAGTAGAGGTAGTGGTGGTGGTTGTGGTGGTGGTTGTGGTGGAAGAAGAGATGGTAGTAGAGGTGGTGGTGGTGGTGGTAGTAGAGGTAGTGGTGGTGGTGGTAGTAGAGGTAGTGGTAGTAGTAGTGGTAGTAGTAGTAGTGATGGTGGTAGTGGTGGCCGTGGCGGAAGTGTTGTTGTTGGTAGTGGTGTTGGTAGTGGTAGTAGTGGTGGTGGTGGTAGTGGTGGTGGTAGTGGTGGTAGTGGTGGTGGTAGTGGTGGTAGTAGTAGTGGTGGTGGAAGTAGTGGTAGTGGTGGCGGTAGTAGTGGTGGTAGTGGTGGTGGTGGTAGTAGTGGTGGTGGTAGTAGTGGTGGTGGTAGTGGTAGTATTGGTGGTAGTAGTGGTAGTGGTAGTAGTGGTGGTAGTGGTAGTAGTGGTAGTGGTGGTAGTAGTGGTAGTGGAGGTAGTAGTGGTGGTAGTGGTGGTAGTAGTTGTGGTAGTAGTGGTGGTAGTGGTAGTAGTAGTGGTAGTAGTAGTAGTGGTAGTAGCAGTGGTAGTAGTGGTAATAGTAGTAGTGGTAGTAGTACTAGTGGTAGTAGTGGTAGTAGTGGTGGTAGTAGTAGTGGTAGTGGTGGTAGTAGTGGTGGTAGTGGTGGTAGTAGTTGTGGTAGTAGTAGTGGTAGTAGTGGTGTTAGTGGTAGTAGTGGTAGTAGTAGTGGCAGTAGTAGTAGTGGTAGTAGTAGTGGTAGTAGTAGTAGTGGTAGTAGTAGTAGTGGTAGTAGCAGTGGTAGTAGTAGTGGTGGTAGTAGTAGTGGTAGTAGTAGTAGTGGTAGTAGTGGTAGTAGTGGTGGTAGTAGTAGTGGTAGTGGTGGTAGTAGTGGTGGTAGTAGTGGTGGTAGTAGTAGTGGTGGTAGTAGTAGTGGTAGTAGTGGTAGTAGTAGTGACAGTAGTGGTAGTAGTAGTGGTATTAGTGGTGGTAGTAGTAGTGGTAGTAGTGGTGGTAGTAGTAGTGGTAGTAGTGGTAGTAGTAGTGGTAGTAGTGGTAGTAGTAGTGGTAGTAGTGGTGGTAGTAGTGGTGGTAGTAGTAGTGGTAGTAGTAGTAGCAGTGGTCATAGTAGTGGTAGTGGTGGTAGTAGTGGTGGTAGTAGTGGTGGTAGTGGTAGTAGTAGTGGTAGTAGTGGTGGTAGTAGTAGTGGTAGTAGTAGTGGTCGTAGCAGTAGTGGTAGTAGTAGTGTAGTAGTAGTGGTAGGAGTAGTAGTGGTGGTAGTAGTAGTGGTAGTAGTAGTGGTAGTAGCAGTGGTAGTAGTAGTGGTGGTAGTGATAGTAGTAGTGGTAGTAGTAGTAGTGGTAGTAGTGGTGGTAGTAGTAGTGGTAGTGGTGGTAGTAGTGGTGGTAGTAGTGGTGGTAGTAGTTGTGGTAGTAGTAGTGGTGGCAGTAGTAGTGGTAGTAGTGGTAGTAGTAGTGACAGTAGTGGTAGTAGTAGTGGTATTAGTGGTGGTAGTAGTAGTGGTAGTAGTGGTGGTAGTAGTAGTGGTAGTAGTGGTAGTAGTAGTGGCAGTAGTGGTAGTGGTAGTAGTAGTGGTAGTAGTGGTGGTAGTAATAGTGGCAGTAGTGGTGGTAGTAGTAGTGGTAGTAGTAGTAGCAGTGGTCATAGTAGTGGTAGTGGTGGTAGTAGTGGTGGTAGTAGTGGTGGTAGTGGTAGTAGTGGTAGTAGTGGTGGTAGTAGTAGTGGTAGTAGTAGTGGTCGTAGCAGTAGTGGTAGTAGTAGTAGTGTAGTAGTAGTGGTAGGAGTAGTAGTGGTGGTAGTAGTAGTGGTAGTAGTAGTGGTAGTAGTAGTAGTGGTAGTAGCAGTGGTAGTAGTAGTGGTGGTAGTGATAGTAGTAGTGGTAGTAGTAGTAGTGGTAGTAGTGGTAGTAGTGGTGGTAGTAGTAGTGGTAGTGGTGGTAGTAGTGGTGGTAGTAGTGGTGGTAGTAGTTGTGGTAGTAGTAGTGGTGGTAGTAGTAGTGGTAGTAGTGGTAGTAGTAGTGACAGTAGTGGTAGTAGTAGTGGTATTAGTGGTGGTAGTAGTAGTGGTAGTAGTGGTGGTAGTAGTAGTGGTAGTAGTGGTAGTAGTAGTGGCAGTAGTGGTAGTGGTAGTAGTAGTGGTAGTAGTGGTGGTAGTAATAGTGGCAGTAGTGGTGGTAGTAGTAGTGGTAGTAGTAGTAGCAGTGGTTATAGTAGTGGTGGTAGTAGTGGTGGTAGTAGTGGTGGTAGTGGTAGTAGTAGTGGTAGTAGTGGTGGTAGTAGTAGTGGTAGTAGTAGTGGTCGTAGCAGTAGTGGTAGTAGTAGTAGTGTAGTAGTAGTGGTAGGAGTAGTAGTGGTGGTAGTAGTAGTGGTAGTAGTAGTGGTAGTAGTGGTAGTAGTGGTAGTGGTAGTAGTAGTGGTAGTAGTAGTGTCTGTAGTAGTAGTGATAGTGTCAGTAGTAGCAGTGTTGGTAGTGATAGTGGTAGTAGTAGTGGTGGTAGTAGTAGTAGTGGTAGTAGTAGTGGTAGTAGTAGTGATAGTAGTAGTAGTGCTGGTAGTAGTAGTAGTGTCTGTAGAAGTGGTAGTAGTAGTGTAGTAGTAGTGGTAGTAGTAGTAGTGGTAGTAGTAGTGGTAGTAGTAGTAGTGGTAGTAGTAGTAGTGTAGTAGTGGCAGTAGTAGTAGTGGTAGTGTAGTAGTAGTAGTGATAGTGGTAGTAGTGGTAGTAGTAGTGGTAGTAGTAGTAGTGGTAGTAGTGTCTGTAGTAGTGGTAGTAGTAGTGGTAGTAGTGGTAGTAGTAGTGGTAGTGTAGTAGTAGTGTAGTAGTAGTAGTAGTGGTAGCAGTAGTGGTAGTAGTGATAGTGGTAGTAGTAGTGGTAGTAGTAGTAGTGGTGGTAGTGGTGGTAGTAGTAGTAGTGTAGTAGTAGTGTAGTAGTAAGTGATAGTAGTAGTAGTGTAGTAGTAGTGTGGTAGTAGTGTAGTAGTAGTGTAGTAGTAGTAGTAATCGTGATAGTAGTAGTGGTAGTAGTGGTAGTATTAGTAGTGGTGGTATTAGTGGTAGTAGAAGTAATGTAGTAGGAGTAGTAGTATAGTAGTGGTAGTAGTGCAGTAGTAGTGGTAGTAGTAGTAGTGATAGTGTCAGTAGTAGTAGTGTAGTAGTAGTGATAGTGATAGTAGTGGTGGTAGTAGTAATAGTGGAAGTAGTGGTGGTAATAGTAGTAATGTAGTAGTAGTGGTAGTAGTAGTGGTAGTAGTGGTGGTAGTAGTAGTGGTAGTAGTAGTACTGTAGTAGTACTGGTGGTAGTAGTAGTGGTAGTAGTAGTAGTGGTAGTAGTAGTGGTAGTAGTGGTAGTAGTAGTAGTGGTAGTAGTAGTGGTAGTAGTGGTGGTAGTAGTGGTAGTAGTAGTAGTGGTGGTAGTAGTAGTAGTAATAGTGGTAGTAGTGGTAGTAGTGTCTGAAGTAGTAGTGATAGTGTCAGTAGTATTAGTGGTAGTAGTGATAGTAGTAGTAGTGGTAGTAGTGGTAGTGGTAGTAGTAGTGTAGTAGTAGTGTTAGTAGTAGTGATAGTCGTAGTAGTAGTGTAGTAGTAGTGTAGCAGTAGTGTCTGTAGTAGTGACAGTAGTAGTAGTGGTAGTAGTAGTGATAGTGATAGTAGTGGTAGTAGTAGTAGTGTAGTGGTAGTGTAGTAGTAGTAGTAGTGTAGTAGTAGTAGTGGTAGTGATAGTAGTGGTAGTAGTGGTAGTCGTAGTGGTAGTAGTAGTGATAGTGATAGTAGTAGTGTAGTAGTAGTGTAGTAGAGGTACTAGTGGTAGTAGTGGTAGTAGTAGTGGTAGTAGTAGTGGTAGTAGTGGTAGTAGTAGTGATAGTAGTAGTGTAGTAGTAGTGTAGTAGTAGTGATAGTGATAGTAGTAGTGTAGTAGTAGTGGTGGTAGTAGTGGTAGTAGTAGTGGTAGTAGTGGTAGTAGTAGTGGTAGTAGTGGTAGTAGTAGTGATAGTAGTAGTGGTAGTAGTAGTGTAGTAGTAGTGATAGTGATAGTAGTAGTGTAGTAGTAGTGGTGGTAGTAGTGGTAGTAGTAGTGTCAGCAGTAGTAGTGGTAGTAGTAGTGGTAGTAGTGTAGTAGTAGTAGTGTAGTAGTAGTGATAGTAGCAGTGGTAGTGTCTGTAGTAGTGTCTGTAGTAGTAGTGGTAGTGTCTGTAGTAGTGATAGTAGTAGTAGTGGTAGTAGTCATAGTGGTAGTAGTGTAGTAGTAGTGGTAGTGATAGGAGTAGTAGTGATAGTAGTGGTAGTAGTGGTAGTAGTAGTGATAGTGGTAGTGTTTGTAGTAGTGTCTGTAGTAATAGTGATAGTAGTGGTAGTGTCTGTAGTAGTGTCTGTAGTAGTGTAGTAGTAATAGTAGTGTAGTACTAGTGATAGTGTCAGTAGTAGTGGTAGTAGTAGTGTAGTAGTAGTCGTAGTGTAGTAGTAGTGATAGTAGTAGTGTGAGTAGTAGTGATAGTGATAATAGTGGTGGTAGTAGTAGTGGTAGTAGTAGTAGTAGCGATAGTGGTACTAGTAGTGATAGTGTAGTAGTAGTGATAGTGGTAGTAGTAGTAGTGATAGTAGTGGTAGTAGTAGTGACAGTAGTAGTAGTGATAGTGTAGTAGTAGTGTAGTGGAGTGTAGCAGTAGTGATAGTAGTGGTAGTAGTGTAGTACTAGTAGTAGTGACAGTAGTAGTAGTGAAAGTGTAGTAGTAGTGTAGTAGTAGTGATAGTGATAGTAGTAGCATAATAGTAGTGTAGTAGTAGTAGTGTAGTAGTAGTGTAGTAGTAGTGGTAGTAGTAGTAGTGTCTCACAAGTACAGCAGGTGAGCGCGTGGTAATAGTGATAGTGGTAGTGTAGTAGTAGTGGTGGTAGTATTAATAGAAGTAGTAGTAGTGATAGTAGTAGTGTAGTAGTAGTGATAGTAGTAGTATAGTAGTAGTGATAGCAGTAGTAATAATAGTGATAGTGTAGTAGTAGTGTAGTGGTAGTGGTAGTAGTAGTAATAGTAGTGATAGTGTAGTAGTAGTAGTGGTAGTAGTAGTAGCGATAGTAGTGTCTGTAGTAGTAGTAGTAGTGTAGTAGTAGTGATAGTAGTGGTAGTGTAGTAGTGATAGTAGTGGTAGTGTAGTAGTAGTGATAGTACTAGTAGTGTAGTAGTAGTGATAGTGTAGTAGTAGTGATAGTGATAGTAGTAGTGTCTGTAGTAGTAGTGGTGGTGTCAGTAGTAGTGTAGTAGTAGTGGTAGTAGTAGTGGTAGTAGTTGTAATAGTAGTAGTAGTGTAGTAGTAGTGGTAGTAGTAGTGTAATAGTAGTGATAGTAGTGTAGTAGTAGTGGTAGTAGTGTAGTAGTAGTGTAGTAGTGGTAGTGTAGCAGTAGTGATAGTAGTGTAGTAGTAGTGGTAGTAGTGATAGTAGTAGTAGTGTAGTAGTAGTGTGGTAATGATAGTAGTAGTAGTGTAGTGATAGTAGTAGTAGTGTAGTAGTGGTAGTAGTAGTGGTAGTAGTGTAGTAGTAGTAGTGGTAGTAGTAGTGGTAGTAGTGTAGTAGTAGTGGTAGTAATAGTAGTGTAGTAGTGGTAGTAGTGATAGTAGTAGTAGTGTAGTAGTAGTGGTTGTAGTGTACTAGTGGTAGTGGTAGTAGTGTAGTAGTAGTTGTAATAGTAGTAGTGTAGTGGTAGTAGTGATAGTAGTAGTAGTGGTAGTAGTAGTAGTAGTAGTGGTAGTAGTGTAGTAGTAGTGTAGTAGTAGTAGTAGTAGTAGTAGTGTAGTAGTAGTGTAGTAGTAGTGATAGTAGTGTAGTAGTAGTGGTAGTAGTGTAGTAGTAGTGGTAGTAGTGTAGTAGTAGTGATAGTAGTAGTTTAGTAGTGGTAGTGATAGTAGTAGTAGTGTAGTAGTAGTAGTGATAGTAGTAGTAGTGTAGTAGTAGTGTAGTAGTAGTGTAGTAGTAGTGGTAGTGTCTGTAGTAGTAGTGGTAGTAGTGTAGTAGTGTAGTAGTAGTGTACTAGTAGTGTAGTAGTAGTGTACTAGTAGTGTAACAGTAGTGTTAGTAGTGTCTCACTAGCACAGCAGGCGAGCGTGTGTCCAGGGCGTAGTAATGTAGTCGTAGTGATAGTAGTACTAGTAGTGTAGTAGTAGTGATAGTAGTACTAGTAGTGTAGTAGTAGTGATAGTACTGGTAGTGTAGTAGTAGTAGTGTAGTAGTAGTGGTAGTGATTGTAGTGTAGTGTCTCACTAGCACAGCAGGCGAGCGTGTGTCCAGTGCGTAGTAGTAGTAGTGTAGTAGTAGTGTAGTAGTGATAGTAGTGTAGTAGTAGTGTAGTAGTAGTGATAGTAGTAGTGACAGTAGTAGTAGTGATAGTAGTAGTGTAGTAGTGATAGTAGTAGTAGTGTAGTAGTAGTGATAGTAGTAGTGTAGTAGTAGTAGTGATTGTAGTGTAGTGTCTGTAGTAGTAGTGGTAGTAGTGTAGTAGTAGTGTTAGTGTCTCACAAGCACAGCAGGCGAGCGAGTGTCCAGTGCGTAGTAGTAGTAGTGATAGTAGTAGTGTAGTAGTAGTGGTAGTGTCTGTAGTAGTAGTGTACTAGTAGTGATAGTAGTAGTAGTGTAGTAGTAGTGGTAGTGATTGTAGTGTTAGTGTCTCACTAGCACAGCAGGCGAGCGAGTGTCCAGTGCGTAGTAGTAGTAGTAGTAGTAGTGATAGTAGTGGTAGTAGTAGTGGTAGTAGTAGTAGTAGTGATAGTAGTGTAGTAGTAGTGATAGTAGTGGTAGTTGTTGTGATAGTAGTGATAGTAGTAGTGGTAGTGGTGGTAGTTGTTGTGGTAGTAGTAGTGTAGTAGTAGTGTAGTAGTAGTGTAGTAGTAGTGATAGTAGTGTAGTAGTAGTGTAGTAGTAGTGATAGTAGTAGTGTAGTAGTAGTGATAGTAGTAGTGTAGTAGTAGTGGTAGTAGTAGTGTAGTAGTGATAGTAGTGTACTAGTAGTGTAACAGTAGTGTTAGTGTCTCACAAGCACTGCAGGCAAGCGAGTGTCCAGGGCGTAGTAGTAGTAGTGTAGTAGTAGTAGTGGTAGTAGTAGTGTAGTATGTACTAGTGTAACAGTAGTGTTAGTGTCTCACAAGCACAGCAGGCGAGCGAGTGTCCAGGGCGTAGTAGTAGTAGTAGTAGTGTAGTAGTAGTGGTAGTAGTGTAGTAGTAGTACTAGTAGTAGTGTACTAGTAGTGTACTAGTAGTGTAACAGTTGTTAGTGTCTCACAGCACAGCAGGCGAGCGAGCGTCCAGGGCGTAGTAGTAGTAGTGTAGTAGTAGTGGTAGTAGTGTAGTAGTAGTACTAGTAGTAGTGTACTAGTAGTGTACTAGTAGTGTAACAGTAGTGTTAGTGTCTCACAAGCACAGCAGGCGAGCGAGTGTCCAGGGCGTAGTAGTAGTAGTGTAGTAGTAGTGGTAGTAGTGTAGTAGTAGTACTAGTAGTAGTGTACTAGTAGTGTACTAGTAGTGTAACAGTAGTGTTAGTGTCTCACAAGCACAGCAGGCGAGCGAGTGTCCCAGGGCGTAGTAGTAGTAGTGTAGTAGTGTAGTAGTAGTACTAGTAGTAGTGTACTAGTAGTGTACTAGTAGGCTAACAGTAGTGTTAGTGTCTCACAAGCACAGCAGGCGAGCGAGTGTCCAGGGCGTAGTAGTAGTATGTAGTAGTAGTGTAGTAGTAGTACTAGTAGTAGTGTACTAGTAGTGTACTAGTAGGCTACTAGTGTTAGTGTCTCACAAGCACAGCAGGCGAGCGAGTGTCCAGTGCGTAGCTGCCGTCCTGCTGGTGCACGGAGAGTCGCAGCAGCAGCTGCGGCAGCGCCTCCCCCTCCACCCCCAGCGCGTGGAGCCCCTCCAGGAGGCGCGCGTCCACACGCAGCAGCTCCAGCACGCTGTGACACACACACACAGGCACACACACACACACACAGGCACACACACAGACACACACACACACAGGCACACACACACACAGACACACACACACAGACACACACACACACAGGCACACACACACACAGGCACACACACGCACACGCACACACAGGCACCACACACAGGCACACACACACACAGGCACACACACACACACGCACACCACACACACACGCATACATACACACACACATACATACACACACACACAGGCACACACACACAGGCACACACACACACCCACGCACACGGGGGGGGGGGAGGGGGGGGGAGAGTGGTAAGAGGGGGTTAAGGGGTGAGCAAGTGAGTGGCTGGGTGAGTGAGTGGCTGGGTGAGTGAGTGAGTGAGCAAGCGAGTGAGTGGCTGAGTGAGCGAGTGAGTGAGCGAGTGACTAAGTGAACGAGTGGCTGGGTGAGTGAGTGGCTGGGAGATTGAATGAGTGAGTGGCTGGGTGAGTGAGCGAGTGGAGTGACTAAGTGAGTGAGTGGCTGGGTGAGTGAGTGAGTGGGCTGGGTGAGTGATGTGAGTGGTTGGGTGAGTGGCTGGGTGAGTGGCTGGGTGAGTGAGTGACTGGGTGAGAGAGTGAGTGAGTGGCTGGGTGAGTGAGTGAGTGGTTGGGTGAGTGGCTGGGTGAGTGGCTGGGTGAGTGAGTGGCTGGGTGAGAGAGTGAGTGAGTGAATGAGTGAGTGAGCAAGTGAGTGGCTGGGTGAGTGAGTGAGTGGCTGGGTGAGTGAGCGAGTGAGTGGCTGGGTGAGTGGCTGGGTGAGTGAGCAAGTGAGTGGCTGGGTGAGTGAGCGAGTGGCTGGGTGAGTGGTTGGGTGAGTGAGTGGCTGGGTGAGTGAGTGGCTGGGCGAGTGACTGGTTGGGTGAGTGAGTGGCTGGGTGAGTGGGTTGGGTGAATGAGTGAGCGAGTGGCTGGGTGAGTGAGTGGGCTGGTGAGTGGTTGGGTGAGTGAGTGAGTGGCTGGTTGGGTGAGTGAGTGAGCGAGTGGCTGGGGTGAGTGAGTGAGCGAGTGAGTGGCTGGGTGAGTGAGTGGCTGGGTGAGTGGCTGGGTGAGTGGCTGGGTGAGTGAGTGAGTGAGCAAGCGAGTGAGTGGCTGAGTGAGCGAGTGAGTGAGCGAGTGAGTGACTAAGTGAGTGAGTGGCTGGGTGAGTGAGCGAGTGAGTGACTAAGTGAGCGAGTGGCTGGGTGAGTGAGTGGCTAGGTGAGTGAGCGAGTGAGTGACTAAGTGAACGAGTGGCTGGATGAGTGAGTGGCTGGGAGAGTGAATGAGTGAGTGGCTGGGTGAGTGAGCGAGTGAGTGACTAAGTGAGTGAGTGGCTGGGTGAGTGAGTGAGTGGCTGGGTGAGTGAGTGAGTGTTGGGTGAGTGGCTGGGTGAGTGGCTGGGTGAGTGAGTGACTGGGTGAGAGAGTGAGTGAGTGGCTGGGTGAGTGAGTGAGTGAGTGGTTGGGTGAGTGGCTGGGTGAGTGAGTGGCTGGGTGAGAGAGTGTGAGTGAGTGGCTGAGTGAGTGAGCAAGTGAGTGGCTGGGTGAGTGAGTGAGTGGCTGGGTGAGTGAGCGAGTGAGTGGCTGGGTGAGTGGCTGGGTGAGTGAGCGAGTGAGTGGCTGGGTGAGTGAGCGAGTGGCTGGGTGAGTGCCTGGGTGAGTGAGCGAGCGAGTGGCTGGGTGAGTGGTTGGGTGAGTGAGTGGCTGGGTGAGTGAGTGGCTGGGCGAGTGACTGGTTGGGTGAGTGAGTGGCTGGGTGAGTGGTTGGGTGAATGAGTGAGCGAGTGGCTGGGTGAGTGAGTGGCTGGGTGAGTGGTTGGGTGAGTGAGTGAGTGGCTGGTTGGGTGAGTGAGTGAGCGAGTGGCTGGGTGAGTGAGTGAGCGAGTGAGTGGCTGGGTGAGTGAGTGGCTGGGTGAGTGGCTGGGTGAGTGGCTGGGTGAGTGGCTGGGTGAGTGAGTGGCTGGGTGAGTGGCTGGGTGAGTGAGTGGCTGGGTGAGAGTGGCTGGGTGAGTGAACGAGTGAGTGGCTGGGTGAGTGGCTGGGTGAGTGAGTGAGCGAGTGGCTGAGCGAGCGAGTGAGTAGCTGGGAGAGTGAGTGAGCGAGTGAGTGGCTGAGCGAGTGAGTGAGTGGCTGAGTGAACGAGTGAGTGGCTGGGTGAGTGATTGAGTGGCTGCGTGAGTGAGTGGCTGGGTGAGTGAGTGAGTGGCTGGGTGAGTGAGTGAGCGAGTGAGTGGCTGGGCGAGTGAGTGAGTGGCTGGGTGAGTGAGTGAGTGGCTGGGTGAGTGAGCGAGTGAGTGGCTGGTGAGTGCTGGGTGAGTGAGTGGCTGGTGGGTGAGTGAGTGAGTGGCTGAGTGAGTGGGTGAGTGGCTGGGTGAGTGGCTGGGTGAGTGAGTGACTGGGTGAGTGAGTGAGTGAGTGGCTGAGTGAGTGAGTGGCTGGGTGAGTGAGTGGCTGAGTGAGTGGCTGGGTGAGTGAGTGAGTGAGTGGCTGAGTGAGTGAGTGAGTGGCTGGGTGAGTGGCTGGGTGAGTGAGTGACTGGTGAGTGAGTGAGTGAGTGGCTGAGTGAGTGAGTGGCTGGGTGAGTGAGTGGCTGAGTGAGTGGCTGGGTGAGTGAACGAGTGAGTGGCTGGGTGAGTGAGTGGCTGAGTGAGCAAGTGGCTGGGTGAGTGAGTGAGTGACTGAGTGAGTGAATGGCTGGGTGAGTGAACGAGTGAGTGGCTGAGTGAGTGAGTGGCTGGGTGAGTGAGTGACTGGGTGAGTGAGTGAGTGGCTGAGTGAGTGAGTGGCTGGGTGAGTGAGTGGCTGAGTGAGTGGCTGGGTGAGTGAACGAGTGAGTGGCTGGGTGAGTGAGTGGCTGAGTGAGCAAGTGGCTGGGTGAGTGAGTGAGTGACTGAGTGAGTGAATGGCTGGGTGAGTGAACGAGTGAGTGGCTGAGTGAGTGAGTGGCTGGGTGAGTGAGTGACTGGGTGAGTGAGTGAGTGGCTGAGTGAGTGAGTGGCTGGGTGAGTGAGTGGCTGAGTGAGTGGCTGGGTGAGTGAACGAGTGAGTGGCTGAGTGAACGAGTGAGTGGCTGGGTGAGTGAGTGGCTGGGTGAGTGAGTGAGTGACTGAGTGAGTGAGTGGCTGGGTGAGTGAACGAGTGAGTGGCTGAGTGAGTGAGTGGCTGGGTGAGTGAGTGACTGGGTGAGTGAGTGACTGGGTGAGTGAGTGAGTGGCTGGGTGAGTGAGTGAGCGAGTGAGTGGCTGGGCGAGTGAGTGAGTGGCTGGGTGAGTGAGTGAGTGGCTGGGTGAGTGAACGAGTGAGTGGCTGGGTGAGTGGCTGGGTGAGTGAGTGGCTGGGTGAGTGAGTGAGTGAGTGGCTGAGTGAGTGAGTGAGTGGCTGGGTGAGTGGCTGGGTGAGTGAGTGACTGGGTGAGTGAGTGAGTGAGTGGCTGAGTGAGTGAGTGGCTGGGTGAGTGAGTGGCTGAGTGAGTGGCTGGGTGAGTGAGTGAGTGAGTGGCTGAGTGAGTGAGTGAGTGGCTGGGTGAGTGGCTGGGTGAGTGAGTGACTGGGTGAGTGAGTGAGTGAGTGGCTGAGTGAGTGAGTGGCTGGGTGAGTGAGTGGCTGAGTGAGTGGCTGGGTGAGTGAACGAGTGAGTGGCTGGGTGAGTGAGTGGCTGAGTGAGCAAGTGGCTGGGTGAGTGAGTGAGTGGCTGAGTGAGTGAGTGGCTGGGTGAGTGAACGAGTGAGTGGCTGAGTGAGTGAGTGGCTGGGTGAGTGAGTGACTGGGTGAGTGAGTGAGTGGCTGAGTGAGTGAGTGGCTGGGTGAGTGAGTGGCTGAGTGAGTGGCTGGGTGAGTGAACGAGTGAGTGGCTGGGTGAGTGAGTGGCTGAGTGAGCAAGTGGCTGGGTGAGTGAGTGAGTGACTGAGTGAGTGAATGGCTGGGTGAGTGAACGAGTGAGTGGCTGAGTGAGTGAGTGGCTGGGTGAGTGAGTGACTGGGTGAGTGAGTGAGTGGCTGAGTGAGTGAGTGGCTGGGTGAGTGAGTGGCTGAGTGAGTGGCTGGGTGAGTGAACGAGTGAGTGGCTGAGTGAACGAGTGAGTGGCTGGGTGAGCGAGTGGCTGGGTGAGTGAGTGAGTGACTGAGTGAGTGAGTGGCTGGGTGAGTGAACGAGTGAGTGGCTGAGTGAGCGAGTGAGCGGGACTGTGTCCTGCTCACCTGAACGGGTCCTGAATGTCCAGGTCGATGTTGAGGCCATTGATGAAGAGTGCCGACTCCCCTGGCTGGAGGCCCACGGCTCCCGAGAAGTACTGAGCAAAGACAAAGGTCCCCCGTGTAGCCTCAAACAGACCCTTGGGACAAGTGCTGTTAGTAGCGAGTAGCAGCAGCGCCTATACACAGACAAAGATCCCCCGTGTAGCCTCTAACAGACTGCTGGGGCAAGTGCTGTTAGTAATAGCGAGTAGCAGCAGCGCCTATACACAGACAAAGATCCCCCGTGTAGCCTCTAACAGACTGCAGGGGCAAGTGCTGTTAGTTAGCGAGTAGCAGCAGCGCCTATACACATACAAAGATCCCCCGTGTAGCCTCTAACAGACTGCAGGGGCAAGTGCTGTTAGCGAGTAGCAGCAGCGCCTACAAGGGCCAGCACGGAGGCCCAGCGCAGCAGGTTGATGAGCGAGCGAGTCGCTGGTGAGCGAGTCGCTGGTGAGCGAGTTGGGTGAGCGAGTCACTGGTGAGCTGGTGAGCTGGAGAGCTGGTGAGCTGGTGAACGGGAGAGCTGGTGAGCGGGAGAGCTGGTGAGCTGGTGAGCTCGTGAGCTGATGAGCGTGAGAGCTGGAGAGCTGGAGAGATGGTGAGCGGGAGAGCTGGTGAGCTGGTGAGCTCGTGAGCTGATGAGCGTGAGAGCTGGAGAGCTGGAGAGCTGGTGAGCTGCTGAGCTGGTGAGTTTGTGAGCTGGTGAGCGGGAGAGCTGGTGAGCTGGTGAGCTGGTGAGCGGGTGAGCTGGTGAGTTTGTGAGCTGGTGAGCGGGAGAGCTGGTGAGCTGGTGAGCAGGTGAGCTGGTGAGCGGGAAAGCTGGAGAGCTGGTGAGATGGTGAGCTGGTGAGCTGGTGAGAGCGTGAGAGTTGGCGAGCGTGAGAGCGGGCGGGCGACTCACTTTCTGGTTGTCTTCAATCTCCTTCCGGAGCTCGGGGCTCACCTGCGTCTTTGTCAGAGACCTGTGGAGTTGGGCACACCGTCAAGAGCCGACAGCCCTGCTGTGGTTAACGATGCGCTAACCACTTACCAGCTGCACGCAGACACACACACACGTGTACACACACGCGTACACACACGCACACACGCGTGTACACACACGCACACACGCGTGTGTACACACACGCACACACGCGTGTGTACACACACGGACACACGCGTGTGTATACACACACGGACACACGCGTGTGTATACACACACGGACACACGCGTGTGTGTGTACACACCACACGTGTGTATACACACACACGTGTGTACACACACACACGCGTGTGTGTGTGTACACACACACGTGTGTACACACACACACGCGTGTGTACACACACACACACACGTGTACACACACACACACGTGTGTGTACACACTAGTACCTGGCCTTGGTGGGAAAGTTCTGGCTGATGTCCTTCATGACTTTGAGCGCGTCCACTTTGGGAGCCGTGACGATCCGGGCAGCCGCTTGGAAGCTCAGGTCTGGGTCACGTGGGGTACGGGGAGAGTGGGGGGGGGACAGTGGCTCTGTGGGTGGGTGGCTCTGTGGGTGGAGGGTGAGAGTGGCTCTGTGGGTGGGTGGCTCTGTGGGTGGAGGGTGAGAGTGGCTCTGTGGGTGGAGGGTGACAGTGGCTCTGTGGGTGGGTGGGTCTGTGGGTGGGTGGCTCTGTGGGTGGAGGGTGACAGTGGCTCTGTGGGTGGGTGGCTCTGTGGGTGGAGGGTGAGAGTGGCTCTGTGGGTGGGTCTGTGGGTGGGTGGCTCTGTGGGTGGAGGGTGACAGTGGCTCTGTGGGTGGGTGGGTCTGTGGGTGGAGGGTGAGAGTGGCTCTGTGGGTGGGTCTGTGGGTGGGTCTGTGGGTGGGTGGGTCTGTGGGTGGGTGGCTCTGTGGGTGGAGGGTGAGAGTGGCTCTGTGGGTGGGTCTGTGGGTGAGTCTGTGGGTGGGTGGCTCTGTGGGTGGGGTCTGTGGGTGGGTGGGTCTGTGGGTGGGTGGGTCTGTGGGTGGAGGGTGAGAGTGGCTCTGTGGGTGGGTCTGTGGGTAGGTGGCTCTGTGGGTGAGTCTGTGGGTGGGTGGCTCTGTGGGTGGGTGGGTCTGTGGGTGGGTGGGTCTGTGGGTGGAGGGTGAGAGTGGCTCTGTGGGTGGGTCTGTGGGTGGGTCTGTGGGTGAGTCTGTGGGTGGGTGGCTCTGTGGGTGTGGGTGGGTCTGTGGGTGGAGGGTGAGAGTGGCTCTGTGGGTGGGTCTGTGGGTGGGTGGGTCTGTGGGTGGGTGGCTCTGTGGGTGGGTCTGTGGGTGGGTGGGTCTGTGGGTGGGTCTGTGAGTGGTTCTGTGGGTGGGTCTGTGGGTGGATCCGTGGGTGGGTGGGAGGGTCTGTGAGTGGGTGAGTCTGTGGGTGAGTGGGTGGAGGGTGGGTGGGTCTGTGGGTGAATGGGTCTGTGGGTGGGTGGGTCTGTGGGTGGGTGGGTCTGTGGGTGAGTAGGTCTGTGGGTGGGTGGGTCTGTGGTGGGTCTGTGGGTGGGTGGGAGGGTCTGTGAGTGGTGAGTCTGTGGGTGAGTGGGTGGAGGGTGGGTGGGTCTGTGGGTGAGTGTGTCTGTGGGTCTGTGGGTGGGTGGGTCTGTTGGTGGGTGAGTCTGTGGGTGGGTGGCGATGGGTGTGTGGGTGGGTTGATTGGGGTGGGTGGGTGTTTGGGTGACTGAGTCAGTGAGTCGGTGAGTGAGTGAGTGAGAGAGTAAAATAATGAGTGGGTAATTGAGTGAGTGCATGAGTGAGAGTGAATGCATGAATGGGTGATTGATTGGGTGAGTGAGAAGAGCTCGAATGCATGAGTGGGTGATTGAGCAGGGCGAGCGAGCAGGCGGGAGAGTTCCGTCTGCTCACGGGAGTCGGCACCCGGTCCCCCCCGACACTCCGGCGACACAGCCAAACACCGGACCGCCAAAACCCAGACCCCAAAAAAGTTGACAACGCGACGGGGAAGAAAAATTCGTGGCTAACGGGAGCGAGAGAGCGGCCTGAGCAAAGGGCGTGAGAGAGTTTGCCGTAGCCGCGAGCGTGTCCCTGTGCGATATTTCTAATTGCCAGTAGCCACGGAATGAAATATTAAGCGGTAGGTGCTGTTGCTCCCCTTATCCCTGGCCGAGCTGAAACCGGAGTCGCGTTGAAGATGTTCAAAACGCCAAGTGGATTGCAGCTCTTCCTGGTTCTTTCGGTGAAGTCGCCACGTAGATAGGGAAATAATTAAATGATAAAATATTTGTCGAGCGTTACAATAAAATTCTCACGACGTTTCGGCCACAACGCAAGCAGCCGTCCCCCCGGGTGAAGGAACAGAGCTGTCGGGTAGACGGCGCTCCTAACGGACACCGCTAAGCTTTTCATATTACCGAGTGCTTGTGTTGTGGTTATCGCAAACATGACCCCTTGTACAAAGGTGTCAGTTTTGGTGCCAGATCAAAGGGTACAAACCTATTGCTATATCTTGCGACTGGCAAAGGAGGTCTCATAATGTAAACGCTTACACCCGAGCTCTCAATAACTCTGATGGTGCGCTGGTTTTTGAGTCGTACGCCTTTTGGCGTCTTCTGGTCCAACACCAGTGGAGACTAGGCTCTAGGAAAAGCCGTCTCGGGTGTGGACCAATCAAATTCAAGGACAGTGCCAATATCATTATCAGAGTTGTCTCTTTTTGTTTGCATTTTGGCTGCTTGTGTTGTGGTTATTGCAAACATGATGCCTTGAATAAAGGTGTCAGTTTTGGTGCCAGATAAAAGGGTAAAAACCTGTTACTACTGCTAAGCTTGGCAGCGTATTTTAAGCTGGATGGGAGGAGCAGAGAGCCTAGACAAAGGAGTTTACATATCAACAGAGGAATTTAGCATGTTGATGACAAATGCAGATATGGGGTTAGTCACTCCTTGCGGAGTGTGTCGGCAGTGGGAGGGGGTCTCAAACCCATATTATGCTATAGTGTATTATGTATCAGTAATACATTACACATTATCAGAGTTGTGTTTTTTTGTTTGCATTCCGACCGCAGGTATTGTGGTCAATGCAAACATTGACCACAAGGTGTCGGTTTTGTTTCCAGGCAAAAGGGTAAAACAAAAACAATAATCATATTACCCTAAACTCGCTGGCCCATCCGATCGCAACGCAAGCGAACGTCATCGGGTGGGACAATGAGAAAGAAATAAAAATAACCACCACTCCGCGATCGAAACGTCGTGAGATCGCCTGTCTTTCCCGCCCCACGTGGCTTTAGCCGATAGAGCCCCAAGAGACGCGGAGGGATTTCCTGCAGGCACGAAAGCTTCGAATCGAGATACTATCGGTTCTTTCGCGCGTAATGATAGTACGGTAAAAGCTTGGGATCTGCGAGCACAATTCGTTCCGGGGAAACGTTGTTTGTAATCCAAGGCGCTCGTACGCCGGTCGTGGTGATCACGTGACGCTCGGCAGACGAAGCGCGTTACACGTGCACTGCCCGTGCCACGAGACCCCCCCCCCTCGCTCGTTTTTATTAAATTAATATTTCTTTTTAAAAGTTGCTCGTCTTGCAAAACACTCGCAGATACCAAGTTACTCGCAATCCAAGGTTTTACTGTACTCATGACGACAATAATGGCGACGATGATGGCGACAGTAATGGCGACAATAATGGCGACAATATTGGAGACAATAATGGCGACAATGGAGACAATAATGGCGACAATAATGGAGACAATATTGGAGACAATATTGACGACAATATTGACAATAATGGCGACAATATTGACGACAATAATGACGACAATAATGGCGACAATATTGACGACAATATTGACGACAGTAATAGCGACAATATTGACGACAATAATGGCGACAATATTGACGACAATATTGACGACAATAATGGCGACAATATTGACGACAATATTGACGACTATAATGGCGACAATATTGACGACAATATTGACGACAATATTGACGACAATAATGGAGACAATATTGACGACAATAATGGCGATAATAATGGCGACAATATTGACGACAATAATGGAGACAATATTGACAATATTGACGACTATAATGGCGACTATAATGGCGACAATAATGGCGGCGTGACGCTGCGCTGTCTTTGATTGGTCGTGTACCCTGCATCTGCCACACTTTGAGCGGAGACATCTCATTGGTGCTCTCGATCATGTGACTCCGCAGCTCGTCCAGCCGACTCCTCATGTCGGGGTGCAGGTGCCTGCCGGGGGGGGGGGGGGGGGGGGGGACACGCAACGCAACGCAGGCAACACGCAACGCACACGCAGGGAACACGCAGCATACACGCACGAGATCAGCACACGCAACACGGAGCAAAATACACACGCGGGTGGAGGTGTGTGGGGGTGTGTGGGGGTGTGTGGGGGTGTGTGGGGTGTGTGGGGTGGTGTGGGGTGTGTGGGGGGTGGAGGTGTGTGGGGTGTGTGGGGGGTGGGGGGTGAGGGTGTGTGGGGTGTGTGGGGTGTGTGGGGGTGTGTGGGGGTGTGTGGGGGGTGGGGGTGGGGGTGGGTGGGGGTGGGGGGGGGGGGGGGGGG